AATTAATTGTTATAGCAACGCTGATGTTTGGGAATTTAGGATGGTAATATATGTTTTAAGGAATCATTCCTGCACTATTAGTGACTTGGAATATAGAGCTTTGAATTAATGGCTCAAAATATTGAAACGATGTCAACATGGGATATATCTATTAGCATATTGGTCTAAAATATTGGAACTATGTCAACATTGCTGTCATCATAACGATACGAAAACAAAGTATCGGCCAAAGTTGTATGCATTGCTAATGTGCATTGGGCCATGTCTCTCTTTGCAAACTGAGGTAACCATGATCTCATGAAGCACTCTATAACTGTATTTAACCATGTATATATGTAAAGGTATTCCACATCATGAAGAACTATGAGAATAAAAGACGAATGCAAGTCACCACGATTAGGTGATTAAACTACACCAATCAATTATTTTGAAGGAATTTGAATGAAACTCTATCAATATGCATTCTCTCATATACCTAATCTGGTGGTTATCCTACTTTATTACATAATGGTAATCACAGCCAAATAGGAAAGAAAATCAAATACAAACCTTGTCAATGGAGAACTTGAAATGGACCTCGACTGTAGCTTCAGTTAAACATAATATTTCACATAGTTCAATTAAAAACTAGATCTGCGAACCTAGTAAATTAGTGTTCAGATTCAAAAGCGTGATGCAAAAAAGTTTACCAAAGAAAACAATCGAACCATATTTCCCTATTAAATACATTTTCAAGTTTCTCTTATTGTTACATTTCATTCAATCCTCGAAATAGTTGACCCCTCGAAAATCACATTTAACTTAGTTCCACATAGAATTGTCCTGTATTTAATTGTTATGTGATTTGCTAATCACTTTCTTTATAGCACCCTATCGCGACTGAGTAGTAAACAAGTGATTATGCAATATTTGTTTTCTTGTTCGTTGATTTTATCAGTCCTAATAGAAAATTATTTGATATGTAATCTAATTGTTCGTTTGACTAATTGCCTAATTCATATTCCTGTTATGTGTTTACTCAGTTTACCAATACTACCTGAGGAATATGTTTCCTATAATTATCAAATTAAACTTAATATATTACTTGCATAATTATATATCATATTTATTGTATTTTGCAAAATTGTTCAGTCCGTCATGATCGTATTACCGAGGCTGCGACATGAACACAAACGAATTACAATAATTGATTCGTTATTGGTACATTTAATTGGGAAAGGCTGTATTTGAGATGTACTGAAAGTACAGGAGATTAAATGTTTACAGTTGACCGGGTGATATTGATTTCCGATATGCGACTGGTCAGAACTATTAGAGTGAGTTGAAAGATTTACCTGTTATTGATCAAAGAAATACTACTGATGAGTATCTCTTCACATCTTCAATTGTTACAGGACGTCTTGATCAGACGCTGATACGTTATGGGCCACAAAAACCGGATAAGGTAAGGCATTTATGGAGAAATATTTTTCATTCAATATCGACATTCTCTTGAAATTAGAAGACTTCTTTAATTAACGAAATTTATGAAAATGTGGGGCGAGTGAACATCTCTCTTGATTTTGACACGTCTTCGGAGACATTAGATTTTCCTCAGTCGCCTCCGAGGTTTCAGATTTAGACAGTTATCATCACAAGTCCTAGAAGGATGAAAGAGTTGTTCGATGCAGACAAGTAATTAACTTTTTCTGAATTTGTTGAAAATGTTTTTCACTTGTGTGTACAATCTTTGAGATTACAGGTGGTAAACATGTACTTTTTGTACCTAAGTTTTGCCGTAACTTGCATGTCACATTTTAATTAAAAGAATTCATCAGATTGTGGCACGGTTCAGAATATATTTATGTGTTAGACATTTTCATGAAATTATTAGAAATATGAACGTTACAAAAATATTGAATTTTACGATAAGTGACCTTTTATATTATATCTTGATCTTTTATATTATATCTTGACCTTTTATATTATATTTTAACATTTTATATTATATATTGACATTTTATATTATATACTGACATTTTATATTATATTTTGATCTTTTAGATTATATCTTGATCTTTTATATTATATTTTGATCTATTATATTATATCTTGACCTTTTATATTATATTTTGATCTTTTATATTATATCTTGATCTTTTATATTATATTTTGATCTTTTATATCATATCTTGACATTTTATATTATATTTTGACATTTTATATTATATTTTGACATTTCTTCGATCGATTTTGGTTTTCTCCCTTCGCTTTAAAGGTTTCAAAATTTAGGCCATTTGCGTAAATGACGAATCGTAAAAATGTTTGAAGTGCTAAACATTTGTTTGTTCCCTGTCTACACTTCCTATGATCTGTAGATTGATGTCTCTGTTAAAGTTTGACACATTGGGTTGTTTCAATAAATGAATGTTTTATTTGCTAAATTCATTTGACCAAAATAGAAATGTCCCAAAAGAAAGATAACACTTTCAAGCTCTATCAACTCTTCTTTTTTCTTAGATAAATACATAAAACTTTACATATATCAAGGAACACTTTTAGAAGAGATTACCGTTTATATCGGCATTTTTGCGCTGTGTTTTTTTTTTCTACAAGCCCCAGAAAGTAACTTTTGTAATTTCTGCTCGTTTTATTTTTAGCGATTCCATTAAAAGAATTGAAGGCCTCTTTTGAAGACTAAGATTACTTTAGTGTAGATTCTAACATCCAATGGAGACTTAACTGACATGATAAGAGATTTATTTATTTATTATAGAATGTTCAGGACTAGAAAGTTCTAGTTTTAGTAATTGATGACGATTTCCAAGTGAAGTCTGTCATCAGATGTACTTGTCTTATTATCAACTTGTTCCTCTGCTGAATGTCTTCACTTCCAACTTTACGTACTTCAGAATAATCATAATTTATTTAGTTTCAGATTTGTATACAGATGAGGTTAAACGGACCCAAAGTTAATCATTTCTTTGATTCAATTCTAGGCGGTGTTCACGTTCTTTTACTTTGGGTAACGCCTAGAAATGACCTTTTCATCGAATATTTCTTGTAAATAATCTAATATATCATTCTTTGTTTGTGGTGTAGAGCCATCTTATATAAATCTGACATTCTGTCAAAATTTTGATGTCTGTGAACACGTAAGGACTAGTGACTTCCTCACGATGTTAATTTATTTATTGTTAATGTTCTCTTTGTATAACAATAAGACCGTTCACAACCTCGGAATCTCATCGTTTGCATAACCGGAAAGAGGACGATATGGCTTGTCGCTGAATCAGACATCTTTAAATGTATCGGCATATTTATATGCAATATCCTTTCCCATTGACAAAATGAAAAGTTTTCCATCTGATCGGTTATGATTGAACCTAATCTATCGAAATATTACTGTATTTCACAATATCATAAACCATTTCAAAGTGTTGTCTTTCTGTTGTGACGCCCTGTATCATGAATGAATATGAATGGATAAACATAACGAAAACTCATCATTCTAGGAATGAAAAACATAAATGTGAAAGTTTAAGTCTAATAATTGGTTTAAATCATATTAAAAATTATAAACAATTGTTTCTGAAGTAAGAAGAAATAAATTAAACGCATACTACATTATAGATTCATGTAAGATAAATCTTTTAACAAATGTGAAAATATGGCAGGGAAACCACACATAATTCGATTCGTTCAGAATTTTCCATATATTCATAATTTAAAACAATGAATATATATATGAACGAAGTGAGTATACTGTAAAACACCAGAAACAAAGTAAGTACGTGCTTCTCAAAGAATAGTTTCCACCTTCAAAGATAGGAATTCATAACATAATAGAAGTGCTAAAACACTGCACTAGTCTTCTACCGTATAACTTAAACGTCATTTACATTAACGTTTACCAAAATCAGGGGATCTATGTTATTGATACTACTTATTAGATCATTTAATACCTAAAACTAATACCTTAAGTATATACTCCTTTTATATTTGGCCGAAAAACATTCGCTATAAAATAAATTCTCACATGATATCATGGAATTTTATGTTCTTATACCCATTGATGTCTAAAGTTGTACTCATAAACTTTAAAAGGTTGATTTTTATGAAATTTGCTTGTGAACTACTTTTTGGAGGCGTGATAAGCTTAATAGCAATAACAATGTTTTCAGTTTTCAAAGGTACTTCTCTTAAGTATACTTCTGGAAGTCTTGAGCAGATTTCAACTATAATTTGTATGCAACATCACCTAAAATAACAGATTAAATTTAATTTGGTATGCATTATGATGACGCTTTGTTGTATTTCATAAAGGAGCAATTAAGATACACTATGAAGTTATGATCTATGTATACAAAAAAGATAAGCCTACATTATAGACCCCATGTTACAGAGGTTACCACAGCGGTCCAGCGCTGAGCCAATCAAGAGATCGCGAATGTATTCTTTTTTTCAGTTTATCGTAGACAAAAAGAAATCAATCGCATTCGTTATGTTGGTTTCCGGGCGCAACTTTTGAAAATCCCAGCGGATATCAACGATCGATTTGAAGTCAATAGATTTAAATGGAAAGAATCTTATTGTCATTAATTTACTGCTGAGCTTGATGGATCTGATGGAATCGTTTGTATATGTCGTGACGCAAATACAACAGTGTAGATAGGGACATTGTTAATGACTATTGATAAGTATCATCTCTCCCTGCATCACGAGTTGACCAATCGATGTAAAACGAGAGCATTAGTCGTAAATGGGATATCCAAACGCATTATCTATGTAAACAATGGTTCAATTAATACTCAAATAAAGGAAAGATCGAAATGTTTTTACTCAAAACTGAAGTAATTCATTATCATAAAGCCACGGAATATATATACAGTGATTGTATATGCTGTTTGTCGAAGGAGGGATAATTTTGACACAGTATATTTTATCTCTTAGCATGATTGCTTTTTCTTGGTTTTGAAACAGAATTTATATACGTTTATCTCTTATTAAATTTATTAACAATGAAGCTACCAACTGTATTTCCTAGGACTACGATACCTCCCCCGGAGGTGAACGAGACGGAATCCATGCCTAAAGAAGCTATCAGTAATGGGAAGGGAGAAAATCTTGATCCATCAATGGCAATGCAATCTATGACAATCCATGAAAGGTTTGAGATATTCATGAACGAGACTAGCTTCACGGCACTCACACGGATCCACAAAGCTAACTCTATCATCAAACGTGTCATCTGGTTCGTCGTACTCGTTGCAATGTTAGCTTGGTTAAGTATCCAATGTTTCTGGCTTTTCGAGAAGTACTTTAAATATCCAGTTGACGTGAAAATCGAACTGGTCTCTTCTACAAAGATGGATTTTCCAAGTGTAACCATCTGTAATCGGAATCCATTGAGAAACAGCATGATTGCGTATTCCCCGTTTCGTACCATGCAGGACGATTTCTTGAAGGTTAAACAAGATGACAGTTTATACGAAATGGCCTACGACATGATGTTCAAACCAGGTAAGTTGTATAAAAAAGTTACAAATAATAACATCATTAATCAAACAAAAAAAAAACTTGAAAAAGTATAAAATTTATAGTTTATGGCAGATAGCTTTTACTTCAAGTACGTTCATTAAAATAGCTGAATCGTGATGCAATAAGATAGATGAGATAAATTACGTTGGCTATGACTCCGTAACACATTCGAAACATACAATTAGCACATGATAAGATTGTAATTAAGTTACAGAATTTTAGTCCGACACTTGACTTACCTGCTCCAGTTCGTGAATGTCGTCTAAAATGATCATACGTTTCCGGTCAAATTAATATTCACTACCAAAACTATTTCCTGACTAGTCATAGAAGGACAAAACAGGTATACTACATCGTAACTCATTATTTTGCTATTCTGTTTTCATGTTATGCGTGGGGACTTTTAGTGTCCGAGGTTTACCGTAACCAGCTTGTCACGTTTTAATTCATTCGAATAGTGGCACGATTTTATTTTTTTATTTTTCGAAAAAATTTGAATTTCTTCAGTTCCTCCTAGGTTTGAACAATTTCGCATACTTTCATCCGGGCTTACAAGATAAGAATTGCTTCGCAATTGTTGTAAAATAAATTCCGAGGAGGGGAACAGCAAAAATAAATAAAAATTATAATAAAAATATGCGGCTTTAAAGAAATTAGTATGCTGTACTCTATTTATATATACCAATTTGGCATAGAAGATTGCATGGATTTTCCCTTCAGTTCGATGTTCTTTTGCGTATTCATATTACTGACTTGTATCGTTTCGAAACAGGTCAACAGAATTCAACACCCTCCACGGGCACGACATTGTGGCCTAGCACACCTCAAAACAGCGTTCCATCTAACTCAGTCCCAAGCTCGAGCACAACTGGTACCACTCCTTCATCTACCACAGAATCTATGTTAGATCGGATGAAAGAAAACGATTTCAATGTATGGGAAGCTTTGTCCGACCCTACTACAGCGGATAGTTTTTATAACACGAAAAGCTCGGATATTACAAATACTTTGGCCTATTCCGGGTTTGCTGCCACTATAGACGAGAATGAACTCGAAGATTATGGTCACCAAATTGAGGATTTACTCATGTCCTGCACATTTCAAGGGTATCCATGTTCTACAAAGTAAGACATTTTCAATTAGAAAGCGATTTTTTTCCTTTTATGAGTAAGTGCAGTGATTGTTATCTGTAATACTAATAAATTCAAGAGGTAAGTACATTTTGAATATAACGTGTTTAGATTTTCGTGTTAGACCGGTAATGAGCATGTTGTCGGAATAAGAGGTAAGTACATTGCTTATGTTATTTGGAAGTACATTAATGAGTATGATTTGGTTCTGTTAAGAAAAAATGACTACATCCATGAACACGCTGCATCGGTAACCGGCTTACGATAAAGATGTACTTGTAAGCAATACCAAAATTATTTTATCATTAAATTAAGAGGATAATATATTTATATAATACATAAACACGCTGCATTTGAATGTGGAGAAAGATCTATCGGTGAACCCGTTGTACAGTATTCGGGTTGAGATACGCGCAAATGATGTTACGGTATCATGCTTGTTTTTTCCATTTTAAGAGGTTAGATCGTTGCTGATCTTTCTGTGCTATCTATCTTCATGATATCTTCATTACCACAATTTTCGTCTTGTTTGCAGGAATTTCACTTATGTACACAATTCCAAGTATGGCAACTGTTTCACATTCAATCACCATAAGAACAACCAGACAACGATTTCTAGCTCGTATCCGGGTCCTCTTATGGGTGAGATTTCTATAGATTTTAAAGGGATATAAATTTAATATTTAAGATATTACCTTTGTGTTTTTCAAGGGACTCATAACAACCTGTGCACAATGTCATATTTTGAATACTTTTTAATGATTATTTTTATTGGCCTTTAAGTAGTTTTTTTACGTTATGGCGATACATTCTAAAAATGTAACTTTGTAACACAAAGCTGTTTGATAAACATAATGATTTCAATTTCCCCATTCTTTTTCTGGATAGCAGTATTCCTGCATCCCTAACTTATTATATTTACATATCACAGTTAATGCGATATTCAAGGGGCAGTCCGCATTATCACGATTTTCATGCAAACTCGTAACATAGGGTTTCAAAAGATGCAGGTAGATGACAATTATGGAAAGTTTAATGGTCGCCATAGTGATTTCATTAAGAAATATTCTATTTCTTTTTGTGATATGAAGCTGTACGTGTTTGATGCTTTTTAGTTTGCCTGTTGGTTCCATTTTTGTATACCGTGTTCTCATTTGAGGACGTGACATTACTTAATTGGAAGTTTTCATGGTTGGTGTCGTCGATGAAGCAGACTCTTAATCTTCGGGACCACTTGTTCTCCTTGTACTGTATCAGGAATTTCCGTGTAATCTTTCTTTTATGCATAGTTTGCCTTATTTTTATGAAATTTGAGTGTGGATCATAATTATGCTGGTATTTTCTTTATTTTTTTTTATGCATTTATATTGTTGAAGTGATTTATGTGCTTTTACAACCAGACTAATTAAAGCATCTACCCTAATAACTTATAAAATAAAGAGTGGGTCAGTATTTTATCATTTCCCCCTTCTTAATTGACTATACCAATGATTTGTATGTAGTATCTTTTGAAAAGTATGTTTATAGTATTATTGGGTAAACAACAGTTTCGCTAACCTTGCCAACATAAGCCAACAGGAATATAACTACAAACATTTTTCCTTCTGTAAATGGAAATAATTCCTTGTCCATATACCCTAAACCTCAAAAGAAAGGACGGTTTCTTTTATTCAATAGTAATAAATTCAGTTTATTTCTTTATTAACAACAGCCTTATTTTCTGGGTAGGTTGTTTGTTTGTTTTCGAAATTTTAGGGTATTTATGTATTCATTTGAATACAGATTGTGTAAATATCTAAGCCAAACTGAAATTAAATGAAACTGTTCTTCTGAAATGCCGCAATTTGAAATTACTGAATGAAAAATGTGCATTTTTTAAAACATACATTTTGATGATAACGAGAATCACAAACAAATGTTACATACATTATGTGTAAAAATTATATAATAACATTTTATTATCTAAGATATGAAAGCACCATTTAATGTTTTTGTTCAAGCAAGAAGTGCATCCATTGAATTATTTATTTCTCCACTTCTGAAGTAATACCTCATAACAGGACTGTTAAAACGAAGACATGTGCTATAGAAAATGATAACTATCGATTTGGTTTGATCACCTATCTCATTATTTACTGATAAAAGCATTTAGCCGATATGCTGTTCTCATATCCATATACAGAAACACATAAATAACAGATCCTATTTCCTAAATAAACATACCCAGTCTCAGTCATGGCAAATCAATTTGATAATGTCTTGTTCTGTTTGCCAAGTTGAAACACCATCAATTCATTAAATAATTGTTTTATCAATTACTTATTGAAATATTGAAATGTCAAACAGAATCCACATAAGGATAATTTTTTTCAATGTGTTGCACATATTTACACTGACAAATTAAACCCAGGAAAATTTGGAATCCTAATTGATATTAGTATACATAAAGGTCATTATTTGTCCGATCTGTCTTGTAGTGTCTATGACGATATAATGTTGATATCCTTCGATAGATCCCATAAATTATCAAGTGACCGCATGACTGCATGACTTAAAAAAATTATCAAACGAAACATCTGACATATGCTTTGTTTTCAGGATTTTTTCTAACATTAAACTCTTCCTAGTGACCTTCGGAAACTAATGGAAAACTTAGTAACATTATTGGTGATGTGGCACAAATTTGAAAGGTATCTATCCGAATAGTACTCCAGCAGCTTGCAAATTTTACGAAGTTGATAATCAGGGGAATGAAGAAGCAGTCTGCTTAAGCTGATATCCCACCATACTTCCAAATAAGAAATATCACCAAAGCTGAGAACTTTGCTACCACTCCCTGTAGCTAGGTCCAGCTGAATACATAGCTACTGCCGATTAAAGCATTATCGAAAATCGACCAAAAGGCTGTGAGTTTCCTTCCATTTGTTTTGATACTGAATCCGTAGAAACATTTGTCAAGAATTTGATGAAACGAGACATGCTGCGTTGGATTTACTTTCTCATTGGATGAAATTTATGCGGTCCATTCAGATCATGAATAATTTCTGGTTGAAACTCAAAACATTTCATACTATATACAGCTGCTCCTAGCAATCAAATACTGAAAATTGTCATCCTTACGCACATGCCTGACTGTGAAGTTAGTATTTTACTGGCCGTGCTATAAATAACAGAACTTCGATAGATCCCATAAATTATCAAGTGACCGCATGACTGCATGACTTAAAAAAATTATCAAACGAAACATCTGACATATGCTTTGTTTTCAGGATTTTTTCTAACATTAAACTCTTCCTAGTGACCTTCGGAAACTAATGGAAAACTTAGTAACATTATTGGTGATGTGGCACAAATTTGAAAGGTATCTATCCGAATAGTACTCCAGCAGCTTGCAAATTTTACGAAGTTGATAATCAGGGGAATGAAGAAGCAGTCTGCTTAAGCTGATATCCCACCATACTTCCAAATAAGAAATATCACCAAAGCTGAGAACTTTGCTACCACTCCCTGTAGCTAGGTCCAGCTGAATACATAGCTACTGCCGATTAAAGCATTATCGAAAATCGACCAAAAGGCTGTGAGTTTCCTTCCATTTGTTTTGATACTGAATCCGTAGAAACATTTGTCAAGAATTTGATGAAACGAGACATGCTGCGTTGGATTTACTTTCTCATTGGATGAAATTTATGCGGTCCATTCAGATCATGAATAATTTCTGGTTGAAACTCAAAACATTTCATACTATATACAGCTGCTCCTAGCAATCAAATACTGAAAATTGTCATCCTTACGCACATGCCTGACTGTGAAGTTAGTATTTTACTGGCCGTGCTATAAATAACAGAACTTCGATAGATCCCATAAATTATCAAGTGACCGCATGACTGCATGACTTAAAAAAATTATCAAACGAAACATCTGACATATGCTTTGTTTTCAGGATTTTTTCTAACATTAAACTCTTCCTAGTGACCTTCGGAAACTAATGGAAAACTTAGTAACATTATTGGTGATGTGGCACAAATTTGAAAGGTATCTATCCGAATAGTACTCCAGCAGCTTGCAAATTTTACGAAGTTGATAATCAGGGGAATGAAGAAGCAGTCTGCTTAAGCTGATATCCCACCATACTTCCAAATAAGAAATATCACCAAAGCTGAGAACTTTGACTGTGAAGTTAGTATTTTACTGGCCGTGCTATAAATAACAGAATTTGCATTTCAGAGGACATTTGAGTCTGCAAGTATCATTTGGATATAAATGTTTGTTTTTGCAACCTTTACGACATCCTCATACAACAATGAATATCTAACCTACTTTTTAAGCCAAAATAAAAAAAAAGTTCATTGTTCCTTGCCATTTTGAGACAATACAAAATGTTTATGACTTTCTTGATTGCGTCTGTTGAATTTCGGTATATTTTAGGACTAGTAATGGAATTTAACATAGAACAATCAGAGTATGTTGAATCCCTGGCGCCAGAGGCCGGTGTACGTGTCCTTGTCCACCAGAGGGGGACATTTCCGGTTCCGGATGACGATGGCTTCTATATTGCTCCAGGATTTGTTACTTCTGTCGGAATACATGAGGTAATCCTATGTCACCAGGGAACCAATAAAATCATGCTTTATATAAAAGTGCTTAAATCATGAATTGATTAGTGCGTTCAACGTTTTGATAGATCTTAGGATATTAGAATAGGGTAAACGACGCTGATCAATGTATGGTAGCCTTTACATTTCTATAGTTTGATTGACTTTTTATATTAAGCTAGACGAGGTGGTAGCGGTTCAAAGATAAATGAGTCGCTTCCATGATTAACGGAATTTTAGTTCTATGAATAGTGAGCTTTGAACTTTGTTAGTTCTCAACAAACATTGGAGACAGTGGAGTAGGTTTTAGGATTTTTTGACTGAAATTATTAAGCATTTGATGGTTACTGTACATATTGGGTTAGCTGGTGTTGGATAAAAGTTATAAGAAAGATGATAACACTTAGAGATATAATCACGGCGAACTCTGACGTCTTACGATGTCTATTCTAAAACCGCTTGAATGATGATGAATTTCTAGGAAAGATTATTTTTCAAAATTGAACATTAAAGGTTCGAATTACCCGCTTGCCACCGCCCCATGCCAGTTGTGCTGAGCAAGCTGTGAAGACGGACTATTACCAGGAGAAGTACGGAACCCTGTACACCAAGCAGCCTTGCCTCAAATCATGTTACCAGGATAACATCATGCAAATGTGTAACTGTGCTGTAGCCTACTACCTCATTCCTGAAGGAGCGAGTGTGTGTGACGTGTCAAACGACACCATTAGTATGTACTTAAGCAAACATTTAAAATAAATCTTTGGTTACCGATGTAAGGAAAATAAGTTCTTGTAGAAATTTCTTGAAAATAAGATTAAGGGTGAAAATAATATTAATGATAATAGAATGAAAGTTTGATCAAACATAAGAAATTTTTGAATTAGCTAGTTTTCATTATGATATCTTAATTACTGTTGTTTCTCTTTACTTTCATTTTTGATTAATTTCAATAAATTTAAAAATTTACCGTGTGGAAATCTATAGTGATATTCAGGGCTTAAATGTTAAACCAAAGAGGCGATTGAGGAAAATCCAAAGTGATCGAAAGAAAAGTAAAAACCTTGATGAGGAGATGCACAAGCCCAAAATTCAATACATTTCATGGTTTTTTTTTACGTCTGGTAATATAATGACATTATCAAATGCTCTCATTTCCAGTGTTTTTGTTTGAATTATAGCTTTTGATGTCACTCTACATTGTCGATACCTTATTCCAGGCGATTGTTTGGTAGAAGCAACAAAGAACTGTGGTGGGTGCAGCAACTTGTGTCCTGATCCTTGCAGGTATGTATAGTCCTATTGACTTCATTAGTTAATTAACATGCTACGTTTGTCAAGAATGATATACATTCAGGCTATATAGTATATTGATTATACATATATTGGAAAGGCAGAAGTTGAATTAAGTAAATAAAAAATAAAGTTACGAAGTAATGATGAGAAAATTATATAAAATGACACCTAAAACACAAAACTTCATTTCTTATACCTAGTCATATTATATTAAACATAGCGTGTTTATTTTTAGTGAGAGAAAGTACCAGCCTTACGTCTCCATGGCCTCATGGCCTTCAGATGCATACTCTGTAAGTTTAAGCAATGATTCAAAAATGTAAGACCTTCTTGAAAATGTTTGCTTTTTTCATACAAATAACTTTTAACATGTAGATTATCTTTATTCGTGGTGGTTTCATTTGATTTCCTACATATTCATATGCTCATGTTCCGAGAATGTTATATTGCAAATTTTGGAAGATAGCTATATTTGAATATATGTAAGTCAAAAGTAAGATATGAAAACCTGTCTGGCACTGTATAATACGTTATTTGTTTATATCGTTTATAAATAATTGTTCCGGATCAAAATGTACTCGACATTGTTTCTTTATAATACTGGAATTTCGACGTACAGTGAGTGTTGTTTTCTCTAATCTGAGTGCTTGTTGACGCGAGTTTTAATCTGCTGAAATCCTTTAATAGTGTTAGGAGTTTTGATGGTGTAAATATAAGGATGTACCTGCTGAGCGTGAATAAAAGTATTGACGGAAATCGAATTAACGTTTGCATGAAACATACAGCTCTGTATGCTAAAGTCGGTCTTTTTGTCATATGATGATTATTGATTTTGTTCTATCTTTTCTGTTATTAGAACAGTCTTGATCATCGACTCATGCGGTCTTCTACAGACTTTATGGAACAAAGTCATCTCAGCTCCAGGTGCTTCTAAAGTTTAAATAAATGTAACCTATAGACCTATAGTTTAGACTTGTTTTGAGGTCATATACATCTCTCTTTATTTACATGTATATGTTATGAATATGTTTGATTACTAAGGGCCTTAATATCTGGATTTCTTGTCCTTTTTATTGTTTTTATTCCAAATCTAAAGAACACCACATATTTTTATTAGACTAGTTAATGAGATCTATGACACACATTTTATCCCCGAAACTGCTTCGAAAGAAACTACTTCATTCCTTATCAAGTTTAATTAGTTTGCAGATCACGTAATCAATATTTATTGTTGTCTCTAGTGTGATTCTATTATACATCTTCATGTGACTAACGTCGTATCTCATGTAAACCGTTTCTCGCTCATTATTTTTTAGATATATCAAAATGTCGTACGATAAGAGCACTCGATTCTAATAATTTAATAAGAAAACTTTATACTTGATATCAAATGAACTAAAACACTTTACCATGTCAATAAAAACAATAGCGTTTTATAAAAATTTCGCTTCGTAAATAATTGTGTAAATGTATAATGTAGCATGTTTGCAGTGAAGTTCATGATATTAACGATTTTCAGTTACATCAGTATTTCTTATTTCATATGCTTCTGTATTTATACAGGTCCAATAACGTGGCGAAAATGGAAATCTTCTTCAAGGAGATGATCTACGAAAATATCGAACAACAGAAAGGTTACGAGGTAAGTTTTTAACAATCTTATCATCATATCAGTATTATTTAATTCAGTATTGAACTTTTGGAGTAATACTTTTATAACCCATGTTATTTTCAAATCCCATAACAGTCACAGAACTTGATTTCTGATGTTGGAGGACAACTTGGTTTATGGCTTGGATTATCCGCCATAACAATAGGAGAACTGGTTGAGTTCTTTGCGGCCATCTTCAAAGCTGTCACAGCGAAAGCGGTACGTCGTCGCACTTACGATGGAGAGCCAGCCAGGAAGTTCAAGGACATTGCCATTCATGTAGGAAGACAAAAACGTGACGTCAATGATACCATGCGCGTGGAATCATTGACAGACTAAAATGCCCAGCCTTAAAAGGTTTGTGGAAATATTCTTGGCATGGCTCTCGGTTGTAATTGAAATTCTCAGGTCCTCCAAACTCCGCTGGTCCGCTGTCAAATCGCCCTTTGTCGATGGTTAATAGTTCATACGTCGTTAATCCCTAAATAATTCTCTATTTCCCGAGAAAAAGATCAAATTCACTATTCTCGAGGTTTATGTGCAAATGTTTGTTGGTCCATAGTTATACAAGTTGAAAATGAAACAAATGAAACGAAATGAACAACAGACGGCCATATAGGATTTGATGAATTAGATATTATGATCAAAATCCAACATAGATATTTTTTTCAAATATGATATATAAGTTTTCCTTGATCCCAAGTTGTGGTATTCTTAGAGACTTATGGAAGTTAAAATGATGGGGGAAAAGCAATTTTTTAGCTTTGTTGGCGAAAGTTTGTTATCACTATTTCTCGAGAAGGATTGAATGGATCCTGCTTGATATTTGGTTCTAGGTTTCTTTTGGTCGATTGCAAAAAGTGAATTCGAAAATTCAAGCTGACATGGAACCAGTAGAGATCTTAAAATGGTGGGCATCTCGAATACCTTTCTATTTAATCCTTATCATTTAAAACGGTTTAGCGACACATTCTTGCTTTATAAGATGTAATCACAGAAACTGTTTGTTTATTGTAAACATACTTATAGGATACTATGTAGTTTATCGCAAACTTCCTGAACGAAACCTACACTTACAGGTCTTTAAAATGTATAGCGTGTCGACTTGATCCACAAATCTAAATATAGATCTGATTAACTACATACACTTAGGAATAACTTACCGTATATGAATATACTGGAGATTTCATCGTGAAATTTTGTTTTAACAGGAGACGAAGCCGAAAGAGGTCCCTCATATGTTCTTACCCAACCTAAAACGCTCCTTGCAATTCATGTTGACGTAGAAACACCGCCCACTCTCAAGTCAAGTTATCGATAGTTTTTTTTTATTATGGAATGTTTCTCTGTGGATTATTTGTTTAAAGAATTTTAACATCAATTCCCAGTGTACACACCTGAAATCAGCCATGTTTATTTCCGATTGACAAATGTGTGTCATGACTAAAGTAGATCGATAAAATAACGAACATTGAGGAGAAGCTTCGACAAGTGACGCGAGACTCATCCTAAGTTGTCACTACGTTTCTTTCAAATGGAGATTTGGATTTATGTATTATGTATTGTTATAGAGTTAAGATTCTGCTTAGATTGCGTCACTACTACTGAAGTTGATCCAATGTTTTAGAATGATAGTCTGAAACTGATAGCGAATCTCTCAACATTCTGATATTACCGACAAACTGAGGAAGAAAAGTGAATCGGATTATGTCACCATAATTAACATCACGTACTCTCCACCTCACATGAGCTTTTCGTTATTGATTAATTTCGCCAATGATGAGGTCGATAATCTGCCTCAACAACAAAGATGACTGCCATATTTTGACTGGCGTCAGAATAGTTGTCATGGCAACGACTTGACAATTCATGAGTATATCGAGGATTACATCATAAAAATTGTGAAAAATCGGTTATATAACCATTATTTCAGAATGTACAATGAATATGTATATATATATATATATATATATATGTATATAATTTAGTGTGATAGTTGTACAAAAATGTTCAAATATCGCTTTGCTTAATATGCTATGAACTTTTTTTCTAATTTCTCAATTTCAATGTTAACCCATATTCATGATTACAGATTGCATACAGAACAAAGACTCAATAATAAAAACAAAATGAAGCACCCTAAACCTTCAGAATGGTATAACCTTTCGCCCACCTGTAGCTTAGATGATGATATATCAAGAAAACATGATGAAGTTTTGCCACTTAATCTTTTCACGAGGATTTAGATATACCTATCTTACCAACATGATGTGAATAATTATGTTCTCTTACACTTTATTTAGGTACATTTTGTGTGTGTTATTGTCCCAATGCTTCGCAGCATCTTTTTCCAAGGGCTGAGGTCACTCGATCTCACAGAAAGGGGGCGAATAGAAAGGGATCACCCATCTTAACCCTAGGATGAGACAATGAAAACTTACATCGTTAAAAGACCTGGATATACCTGTTCAGGGCAAGAGAAAACAAAATATTGGGCCGCTAAATGTTTATCTTCCCAGGATAAGAGAATAATTTATCTAGAGACTTATCTCCACCCCTACGCCAACCCTACAGTGTAACAATATTTGTTTATATTTATGTTATTCATACTTCACACGGTAATTTACCCCGTTGTACATATTTCTAATTGTGTCACGATCTTTACGATTTTTATTTAGTACGCATTCAAGCAATAATAGTTGTTGAATTAGTTCTTAAATTAGGTAATCACGATAACTGTTTTACATAGAACGGTTACATTCTTGTAGGTCAATCAAAATTGTAGCATTGAAAGTTAAGGCACTGTAATTTGTACATTGTTGATGGTACGTGGAGAAACGACTATGTCCACTTTATATAATCTGTAAAACGTTTGTCCTCGTTAGGTTGCTATCCTGAAAAGGACAGTAAGCATTTTATCAGATATATTAGGTTTCAATATACAGCCTGTTAGTATAAATGTAAAGAATATTTTAAAGATGTACTTGAAATCATCGCATATTTACAGAAATAAACTCATATACATATACATGCTGTGGATGCTAATTTTAAACTTCCTGATATTTCCATTCATGATGAAACCATAATGTTATCGATTTTAAAAGAAAAACATCATTATCAAACGAGAGAAGACAGCATTTCCTATTAAAGATGAAAAATGGAGCTGAATGAATATGCCTCTTGTATCCAGAACCGAAACAATATACAACCATAAAACATTATAAGGATGTAGAAGAGATAATATGAAAAGTAATTTAACAATAAAATTTTGATAAGTTTATTAATAAACAAAGAGACCAAATGACGTGTCTAATTATGTACATTAAACCCATCACATGATACAGAGTAAAGTAAAAAAAAAAAAAAAAACATTCCACAAAGGAAATCTGACGTCGGTGTCTTCCTTATCAATCACCTTCTATTTCCATACGATAACATGGGAAGGCTGTTGTCCAGCGTGAATTGTACGCCGTTTCCTTGAAGAACCTTTTCATTTACTACAAAAGAAAATAAAAAAATTACATGTTAGATACCAACAAAACTGCAAATGCTTTCCTTCTGCTTTATACCCCACCTAATTATAGTACTTATTTGATCGTGGGACTGCTGCATCTCGCCGTCTAGATTTTGACTTTTCTCTCGATCACTTTTGGTATATATTCATTTCCCTTAGTCACCTCCTTGGCTTCTATCTTTAGGCCCTTAGCATCATTAACAAGTCCTAGAAAGACGAAACTACTGTATGGTGGAATTTAATGCATTGTCTGGCTCTGGTGTGCTATTCACTTCAACAATCTTTGATTCATGTGAACTGGTATAGTAACATCATTTTCAGTATGACATATGCTTGTTTAACAACGACTTACTGGTAATACATTCTCAACTACAGACACTCATTTTAAATTAAGGAAATAGTACATAGTGATTACTGAGAAAAAAATCGTTCAATTTTCATGTGCAAGAGATGTTTCAAAACCTAAAAACTTTATCAAACCGATTTATATTAATTCTAAATACATATATTTGTTTTCTTTTTACAGATATGAGTTCATCCTCGGCCCAAATTAAGCGATAGTGCGATTTTCACCTTGGGCCAAGGATGATTTGGTTTTTAATGTGAGAATGAATTTGATTCAATTCTTTAGTTATTTCTATATCACCCTTTTAACCTATCAAAATACAACATATTGTCATACATTTTTCTTTTTTTTTTTATTAGTGACGTTAATACATAACTTTACACAAATCCCAACAATGAATTTACGCAACGAGATATAGAATTTGATGTAAATTTTAAAATAATCCCAACAATAAATTTACACTGCTTGGTATAGAATTTGATGTAAACCATAACAATATTCCCAAATCCCTGAATTTTGATTACAAATTGTAATCAATACCAGATAAAACAATAACCCCCAATTTCGAAGATTTATATTATGAAATCATTATTGATAGCCCAGTCTAATCATTTTTTTACATCCCTTAGGATATGGATGTGTTGATGAACACCGTGATAAATACAAAGTGAATGTAGTACTATATGTGCAAACAAAATTTGGAAAGATGTGTTTTATACTCTGTACAAATTGAATAATTCAAAAGAAATTAGGGAACTTGTGGAAAGATCACTTAACAAACCTATTTGTCAATAAAGTATCCCTACTGCATCTAAAACGGTCTTCAATAAATCATGGTATGAATAAACAGTACAGACTTTTTCAGATCTCATCAAAAATATATCAAAAATATAGGTCACTTTTCTATTTATACACTTGTAGAACTTTCAGAAAAATATCAACTCCATACAAATTTTCTTCGAGTTCATGGGTTAATGTCTGCAGTTCCCAAATATCTGCCAGACCCAATCTTTACCAATTAATTTGAAACGAGTTACCCGCTATTTCTTACATGTACCTCTAAATATAAAGATGTTGTTGCAAAACACTTGTTGATCCACTTTTTTCTACAACAATTCTTGTTTAATGAAACATTATAACAGAGTAAAATTTATACAATTCTATAAAAAGTCACAGAAATAATTTCATTGCCTTCAAAACCTAATATCACACCATATCATTTTGTTTGTTTTGGTGTTCAAATTACTTCACTCCTATAGCTAACGTTGTAACTTAAAAAAACATCAGGTTACAGATTTACATAAGTATCATGAAACTAGTTTTCTTTTCTATTTTGCATAATGTATAGTTGAAACTTAAATAAAACACAATTTAAACTAGAATAAACTACCGCGAAAATCTTCAACATTCAGGAAATTCCTGAATCAAAAAAGAGTTATTTTTAAACCTGGAAACTGAAGCGGCAGACTATCATACCTATGTAGTCCATAGAGAGTGTGTCCTGGATGACCTCGCCATTTGCTGCAGTGAGTCTCAGGTTTAATGGATACGTCACTCCTTTGGGAAAGCGTGCGACCCAGAAACCATCAGTCGTGTGCTCGAGTGGAAACCAGGATAAATCCGGAGTTGACATCTCCACAAATGTGGCCGGAATTCTACGGGTTATAGATAATTCGCTTTTTTCAAAATGTATTGTCTAACATGACAGCACGTTCGTGTGTTTTACCGATCAAACATACGAGTGATACTAAGACCTTAGATTAGATCATAGGTGAAAAAGATTAGCAAAAGTCGATAACACATTCATTAAGAATGGAAATATTTTTTCATCAGAAGAAAAAAGTGGAAACTACCTTCAAACATAATAAAAAACAAGTGGTAAACTCGATAACATCCTCACATTTCTTCTATTTTACTTAGCTCAGAGATGTACAAAATAAAAATAACAACTTCGAACTCGAGTATTTCCGCCAAGTCAATCAAAGTATATACAGTTTGAAAATTAAAGAAACATACTCTTTTATGTGTGTATGACAGGGATATTGCATCCCCAAGTGTTACGTATGTGGGATGAAAAGCCTCTGCAAAACTTAGGGTTTTTATAACTTTTTGTAACCCTCATGTGGAATATCGCTATTCTCTGTACATACATACACGTGACCGAGAATATACCTTGCGTTGCGAACTTGGAGTTTCAAGTAATATGTATTGCTGCCCTGTAACTTATATTCGATGGATGTGTTTCCAACTGGACATTGGATAGCCTGGAAGGAGATATTCCATCTACCGTCGGCAGTTTGGGAGAAATCAATATCCCCTGGTTCAATTAAAGTATCCAAACGTCAACAAAGTTCAAAGTTCAGATACCTCATGTAGTCTTCATCAGTATTTATCTTAGGCAGTTTTTTAATTCTGTATCACAACTATATTTACATCAATTAAAATTAATTTAAATTTAATTAAATTTAAATTATGATGATGACAGTAGTATATTTAACCACAATACATATAAACGCATGCATGTATAAACGAACATTTAATGTAGTCTGGTGTTTAAGATAAATATCTATATAACTCACTAAAATGTGTTTTGCATCCTTTTTCGTTAATATTGCACTGTTGCAAAAATATGAATTCGTTAACACGCTGTTAATTTCTTTTAAGTCTATATCCCCCTCCCAACCCACCCGCCAGCCCCGTCTCGAATGTGAAAAATAACCCTCGACAGACTTTCATGCCCATGGCCATACCTGTTTTACATTCCGGACACATGTCCTTGACAAACACGATGTGTTGTCCAATGATGGGATTGAGTCCTAATCCAACGCCTGACCCATTTACCTGTATATAATACATGTCAATACCATGAAATGGAAAGTTACCTTAACAGTTATAGTACTTAATATGGCACCAGTATTTCCTGTATCAGTTATAAAGACGAGTCCAGAACACAGATGTAAAATAAAATTTTGATGAGTCTAAAACACTGAGAAATGAAATGGGGTCTTCAATTTTTAGTGAGTCCAGAAACCTCGGTCAATCACTGGACACCTATTTCATATTTCAACAAGTCAGGCTACTTTTGTAACTATCCAATACACTTTTAAAAAACGTTGTTTAGTATAACTTTGATTTGTCGTAAATGTATCTATTCTTATATAACTGACCACATATTTAAGAAATTTTACAAAAGAACTGTATCATTGCACAATTTCAGTGACTACAATCCACAAACTATATACATATGTATTTGTATGTGTAAGAAAACTCATATTTACAGAAAAACACATGCCGCACGCCAGAGATCCGAAAAATTGGGGTCTATTAAGGGCCACAAAGTCTGTGATGCCGGGATGTTTAGCTACCGGCGGTAGTTCTGGTGGTGGGTAACTGCATGTACCGTCCTCTGTGTACCAGTAGTAAGTACCCTGTAATGTAACATAAACTTTACCACTTAACAAACAATCAGACATATTGTATATAACTAAATATATAGCGAGCTATCATTTTTTTCGGACGAGGTTCTCAACATGCCATGAGTCAATTGTTTATTTTCAGGCAAATGCGATTTAACGCTCAGCAGAAACACATGTCAGTCAATTATTTAATGTTTTATTTTAGACATAAATTTCATTGAATATTAATTAGAAGTAAAAGTGTTTAGATAGACAATTATAATAAAAGGAAAGGGGAGAAACTATATTTTAAAATAATTGTTGTTATTTATATCTTCGTTTAAAAAAATATCTTTCACTTGATTTCCATCTCGATCCCTTTGGCTGGCGTGTATAACATGACAGACACGTTGCAACTCAGTGTACATAAAACAGAAAATAAAAACATCTAAAATAAAAGAAACAGAAAAAGACTACATAGCACTAATAATCGCTTCTTATCATAATGATCGTTTTTAGAAGAAAATATGTTCACGCCGTAACAGAAATATATTCACAATAAATCTTGTCTTGGTTTTCTGTCGGATATTTATTTGATATTTATGACTACAAGGGGAATTTATGAATATTTTGAAAACATCTTTATATAAAACTCCCTGTATAACGTTAATTACTTGTGGATGTCACTGACGTGAATTAACAATAATGTAGATTTATACATCTCACCGTGCCTAATTTGTGTTGTGTCTGTCTACGGAAGCCAATAAGTGTCACCACAGATGGCATGATACACAGATTCTGAAAACCATTATCTGGTTGTCAAATATGGACCATTGATGCAGATTTACATAATTCTGACAGAAAGTAGCTATACAGTATTTCCAAATATACATTAAATAATGAGGACGAGACGCAAATCATCTAAACTCGTGCCAGGATCACTGACCCTCTGTATTGCTATGTGACGTCACATTACTGTCTGTCATGTGGTCGTACGACAGATGTGTTTGACCATTGTTTCCAAGCCGATGTTTCAGTGTTACGTCAAACCTCATCTTTTGAAGAGGATTTTGATTTATTAAGTTCTGTTTCCGTGAATATTTGCGTTGTCTAAATTCTAACCTCCTCCCACCTTTTTCAGTTCATTTCAAATTGTATCTGTTTTCTGTGTTTAATTTTAGAAATAATCCTCGGTTTAACGAATGGATTAATATTGCTTGTCAAAGTCTGAACAATATATCTTCCTATTGTTTTATATCAGAAAATCCGAGTTTAGAGTCTGAAGCCTTTCTTCTTAGATAAAGTTCATAATGTATTTCTCTTTTAAAAATCTTAACACTTTTGTTAACACTGTTATTCCCTTCATAAATCAGAGGTCCGAAACTCAACATGTAAACAACTTTTGGTACAGAACAATATGGATCCCTGATGAATAGATTTAGCTTGCCTTTACACTCCTCCATACAATTAGGATTTTACATTGTACAACATTATACATTACTGTATATACATGTAACACTATATGTATTTCGTGAAATTGTCAATCATCAATTTGTTGGTACTTACGTCACCAGTGAAAGTATTCCTGTAAAGGTTCAAAATGTCCTGATTCTGGGCCGCAGTGCACAAGACCAACAGTAAAAGAATGTACAAAACCCACATTATCCTATCATACACAAGCACAAATGTATGAATATCATTACGTAACTTCCGGCGGACGACTTCGTCCAGTAAAAGACAGGGGATACATGTTGTTCTGTATTCGTCATCGGAACATGTATTTTTTAATATAGTAGAATCAATGTCGGGTGCAAATAGATTTTGATATTTACTTTTATTTGACCCATACACGACGAATATTTCAAATCCTGCTTATGACCTTTGGAATCACAGCTGAAGACCTACATGTATGGTGTATGGTTCTATTTCTACAGAGTTCGGTTTGTGATTCTCATAAAGCCGACATATAGGATCTGTTCTTGGCCAAGACACTTCGTGTCATTTGCTTTGAAGAACATGGGGCTGGCCTTCCGCTTGTTGTTCAGTTACGTAACCTCCAATATTTATCGCCTTTCGCCTAAAATGGCATAATGTGACTAACGCGTCAAGCCATGAAAGTAACTGGTGCTACTATTAAGAATATTGAAAGTTGATACAATAGAGACCGTAATGTTTTTAACTTAGATGTCGAGTAGGGATTCGATGTTAATAACTTAATCATTTGTTTGAATAAAGTATGAAGGGAAATTTTGATTTTCAAAAACACATTGCAGGAAAAGGTACATATTTCATAACTGGATGATTTTGTTTTTCCTCGTCATGTTTTGGAAAAATCATTTGAAGTTTGCAAATATATCAGAGTTAGCTCCCTTTATACAGGAAAAATTAAGCTTTTCTCAAATCAAAGTGCTGAAAGTTCGGAATCGACTCAATCTTCCAAAGCCTTCGCTTTTTTGTTGCTGATTAAAATCATTAAAATATTTAATGTATCTCATATGTATTTTATATACTTTTGGTTCACGTACTGCTGCATTGGTTAACATTTTTATGTGGATTTGCACGCAATAGACAAAGTAAACATTGCTGTACATTCTACAAATCTGCGGTAGAAAAATCACTTAAAACACTGATAACATTGCATCTTGATGTAACTTCTGTATGGTGTACTCTAGATAAAACCAATGGAAGCTTTAGTTTTACGAAAAATAAAAGTTGTGGAACCTCTCAACTTTGAGCATTAACGTTACTGTTGTAGAAACATTGCTTGTAGAATAGTGTCATTTCGCACTTCTAACAAACCTTAATTGTCTGTTTCTATATTTATATAAGTCTACATGATGATAATGTTCTACAGACTACTCAATCCTAAGCTGTTTTGTGAAATCAAGGCCTTTGTTCACCAACCATACCTGTTCCATACTTTAAAGAAAACATTTCCGCGATAATGTTCTGTTTTTGTTTTCGTTTTCTTCTTTATTTCCTGTCTGGCGTTATACAAATAATGTACTTAAGTTGTTTTTTAACAACAAATAATCATAACAATATAATGGTGTGCTGGCCTGTTGATGTGTAGCATCTAAGTTATCAGTTAAAGAGTCACCAATCCAAAGCCTAAAACTGAATGTATGCTCTTAGTTAATGTTGTGCACATCCAAATCGGCAATTTCTGATTAAATACAAGATACCAAATCTCGCACTTTGACCGATATTTTGATTCATTCTTAATAGTTTTTTACTGGAATAATTCCTGAGTGTATAGAATAGAAAAATCCCAAGCTTTTTTTTCTAGATACTATCCCTTTTCTGTGAACATTATTTTAATAAAGATGATATTTTGTTATGTTCAACAGAACACTAACATCATTTAATTTAAGGCCCTCATAAACCTTAATGGATTTCAAGTATAATAAAAGTTACATAAAAGCCACATTAGTTAAAAAGATCACGAAATCAATGAAAAAAGTTTTGTCTATTTTTATTTATTTTTGTCACAGTTTTTATTTCGTCGACTTTTGTTTTGGGATATTCTCAGACTAGTGTGGTAGGCTGCTGTCAAGACTGAATTGTTTTCCTGTTCCATGAAGCACAACTTCATTCACTATAAAAAAAAAGACAGTAGAAATTGCCTGGTATAATGAAACAAAATAAGGTATAAAGAAAATGACAATAACGTGATTAAAAAGACAATTTGCCTATCAAAGCTGACACGTGTTCAAATTTGTTTCTGTGACCACAGTGTCTTATCAGTTAAGACTCTGACATACCAATGTGTGTCATATGGATGGTGTCAATGATTCGCTCTCCATTAGCTGCTGTAAGACGAAGGTGTATTGGATACTGGACCGGTTTATCAAAGCCAGATCCCATGACCCAGAACCCGTCACTGGTGTGTCGGAAACTGGCATACTGCATACTCTTCTGTCGCATCTCTACTTGTGTTGCTGGAATTCTGTGATGAAGAAAGTATACATCCCAAGAGTCCAAATGTTAAGTATACACATATATATACCATATGGATGATAAAGACATTTTAAAAAGGGAAAAAAACAAATTAAAATAGTTTCTTAATTATTCAACACCATGACAACTTAATTCTATAACGTTAGTTATGATGTCGTTCATAAGTCATAACAATCAATGCAAATTACACGCACGGTATCATTGTGATCCAATTTTTGTAGTGAAACATACTGCACAGCGAAAGGACAATTTGTTTCTCGTATAATTTAGATTTGTTATTTGTTTCCTGTGTATATGTTTACTGAAAAAAATTGCCATTTTACCTTGCATTACGGATTTGTAATTTTAAGTAATAATCGTTGCTGCCCTGGAATTTGTATTCGATTTTAGTGTTACCGACTGGACATTGGATAGCTCGGATAGAAATTCCCCATCTACCATCTCCATTCTTGGCAAAATCCACAGACCCTGTATAATGAAAATGATGTTTAGGTATCTCGACTGTTCACAAAAGTTGCTTATAAAATCAATGTAACTGATTATGTTACTAATACGAAACATTAGATGCAGACTGAAAGGACCGTCTTTATTCATAATAAAAAATAATATTTACATTCAGAACTAAACTGGAGTATATTAAGCACGATCGTGTAATAATGACGAGTACCCACCAGCATGACATTCCGGACACAAATCCTTGACAAAGACAATGTGTTTACCGGTAATTGGGTCATTACCTAGACCATGACCAGACCCGCTGACCTGCACAAGTAGGAAAATACCATATTGATAAGCAGATTTATTACATTGGCTATACTGAAATTTGCTCCGCCATATAGATTAGTCGTGTTCACCAATTGAATAATAACTTCGGTTGATGCATTCTGACGTCATTGTACGTATACTGTTATCTATAGACTTAGCCAATCACAGGCGAGCATACCTAAGAGGTCCTCTTACATTTCAGTGTGACAATTCATTCTGGTCGCAGTACATTCCAGGTAATTTGTGGTACATGGGCAAGATATAAATATTTCTTCAGATATCGTGATTATAGGAAACACAGTAGCCGTTAATTAATAGGTAAACATACAAGTATTAATTAACATCACTTCAGATCGACCTAGGTCGGTAATACCACACATACAAGTATAAATTCACATCACTTCAGATCGACGTAGGTCGGTAGTACCACACATACAAGTATGAATTCACATCACTTCAGATCGACCTAGGTCGGTAGTACCACACATACAAGTATACACTCACATCACTTCAGATCGACCTAGGTCGGTAGTACCACACATACAAGTATACACTCACATCACTTCAGATCGACCTAGGTCGGTAGTACCACACATACAAATATGAATTCACATCACTTCAGATCGACCTAGGTCGGTAGTACCATACATACAATTATGAACTCACATCACTTCAGATCGACATAAGTCGGTAGTACCACACATACAAGTATGAATTCACATCACTTCAGATCGACCTAGGTCGGTATGAATTCACATCACTTCAGATCGACATAAGTCGGTAATACAAGTATAAACTCGCATCATTAAAGACCGGTAATAGGTATTCGTTAGGTAAACATTCTTCACAACAAGCAATCAAGCATATTTTCAATGTAAGCACGTACACAGGAAGTATCTGGTTCGTCATTATTGAGTATTGAACTTGCTTCTCAATTCATATACTTACTACTTACCGTGAAACACATGCCACATGCTAGAGATCCGAAGAATTGTGGGCTGTTTAGGGCCACGAGATCGGTAATGGCTGGATTTTTAGCTACAGGAGGAAGGTCTGGGGGTGTATAACTACATGTTCCGCTAGACCCAACTCCATAATAGGTACCCTGTAACAGAAAAAATATCTGGAACAGTTCGTTATTATCGGTTTATATGTCTTCAAAGGGTGGAGCCACGGTCAGCACTTACATAAGGGTGTGGTCATCTTCCTGTAACTGTATTACCGCTATCCTCCTAACGATCAACGAGACCTATGAAATCCAGTGTTGTAGAAATAGAAAAAATCATCATGTCTACCTTACAAAATGTAATCCAGAAATACACGGAGATCCTTTGAAAAATACAAGAAAAAAAACATCAATTACTCCGGAAGGGTAAGCGTCTTCCGCTTCATATACGATACCTGCAATGTAAATCCTGGCATTGTACATTTGTCTTTTATCAATGAAAGAGAAGACGATAATTTGCACTGTCGGTCTTTTTATTCATATTAGTTATGATATAACAATTAAATATGTTGCCTTGCAACATCCTTTAAATGGGCGATTTTTTTTTATATTTTCTTATCTAAATTTCGTGTTCTGTGAATTTGCTATTTCAAATCCCTTTTGTATGTGTGTGTCTTTTTTCGATTTTAGATTTTGGGTTTTTTGTTTTGTTTTTTGTTTTGTTTTTCACTAATCTAAGAATTTTTATTAAGATTTCAGAAAATAAACCCTGTAAATAATTATGTAAAACTTCAAATAAGATATAAATGATATTGTAGACCTGTTTTTCAAAACTAATTCATGTTGCTTATAAAATTGTTCATTAAAAATGTCATGTATTAAACTTAGACTTCACTGTCTCTCATTTTTGTTTGTTTGTGTTGTTACATGTCAAATTCCAGAAAGAGGCCGAGGATATAATTTATAATTAATATTTTTCCTAAGGATTTGATGTATTTTATAGCTCTTTGATTTCAATTTTGCATTGGCCTTGTTATATAGGGATAACACTGAATCTATCAAAAAAATGTATTTTTATATTTTAGATATCTTCGTAGTTTTTTTATGTAGATATGACGAGTTATTTATGCAAAATCAATGAACATGCTCTGTTTCGTTTCCCGTTGTCTGCATAATGATAACCCGTCATATCCAGAATGTCGGGAACATATCATCGTTATACATGTTACTATGAACCAGCCTGTATAGATAGTTTTGAATATTATTGTCCTAATGGTATTAAATTCGAATAAAAAACATTAAAATTGTATATATACTCAAAATAATGATATACTCTAGAAAAGTATGTAACAACACCAAGCCACCTCCAACATCCAGTATGAAATAAGAACCAACTTGCACACGTGGCGCTTACAACTTTAAGAATGGAACTCCTCTCCCCCCAACTAGACCTAGACAGGATAAATAGAATTGCATCACGTGTCATCGATATCGGAGTAGAAGAGCCAAGAAGATGTCTTCCTGTACGATGAGGAACCTTAATGACAAGTAAATATCTGACTGACTTGAAATTGACTTAAAAAAATCTTCAGGCGTCGCGTTAAACATTTTAAAACATAATTGAGAGGGTTTTCGTAACACTGTGTGAGCTGATATTACGGAAGCCCAAAGGACAGTTGTTGTGGCAATGGACGACGCATTTAATGATAAAAATCTGATCATTTTGTCCGACAATCACATTGTCGGCCCATATTGCAAATAGTTGCATATTTGAGCTGTATAATGCTAGACCACACGCGATTACGCTGATCATGGGTTTCTCAAATGCTTCGTAATTGTAACGTCTAAGGTTGTCATCGTAAATGGCTTCCATTGATCACATTTCAGCTTTGACGCTTCATTGATGAAACTAGTAGACATCGTCTACCAAATTAAGGCACAAATTGACAAGAATGGCGTCGCGAGCTATAGACGCCGAAGAAAAATTCCGATGTGAAGGCGCTACATTGCTTGCATCATCACTAATAGTTTTCCAGAATTAACAGAGCTTTGAAAAGATGATTTTTCGCTCATGCTTTTGGAGAATGTTTATTTCATTTTGCTTAAGTGGCGAATAACAACAATAAAATACCAACATGACAACATGATCAGAATTAATTCAAACTCAAATTCCATAAAACCCGGGCAAAATATGAACAAAAGAAAGGTTTACACGGATACTCCTGAAAAAGTACAAGGAAAATTAGATAAGATGTTCCGGAAGAGTAAAACTCTGTTGAGTTGACTGAAGATTTAAATGACATGTCTGTATTTTTGTTGTCGATTTTGTTTTTCATACCGAGGACGTGATATGAAAAGAAAGAAAACTAAAAAGGTATACATTTATTTTTGTTCTGAAAGACATTCGACAAGCCTCCAATAAATTGTTCAGTAAGGTAGGCACACATCAGCTACCTTTTGTATTAGATTATAGAAGAAACACACAAGTGAATAACACTTTTGATTTCAAATTAGAATTAAATACTCTTAAGTAATGGTAAGGGCTTCAACATTAAAGCCTAGAAGTGACTGAGGAAAATAAAAAACGATCGAAAGAAATATCAAAATCTAGAGGGCGATGTGCACTAGAAGGCCAATGTTATTTTCGTATATCTAATATATATAATGATTTCAGAAGAATTACAAGTACTACAAGGAGGTCCACAACAACCTTAGTTTGCTCACAAGTAGAACGGTGCTTATATCATGGTGGTGTAAATAAAGTTGTATTGAAATCATTTTTTGTATTTTTCTTAACTTTATTATTTGATTATATGTTTAAGTATTCTATTATCCGGAAAACTGAGTAAATAGCAAGGTATAGGACTTGTGGTACTCTATAACTAAGACAATAAATTAACGTGTTTGGTTCCTAAACAGATGTGTCGGTGTGTTTGAAGACTTGCATTGTTGATGTTACCATGTCAGACATCCCGAAGGCTATCTAACATACATATATGTATCACCGTCAGAACACATTACTGACTAAGGAAGTATTACCAGCTCATTTGTCAGATAGGACAGGTTTCTCCACGTATGTAAACATGGATTATAAACAATAGCTGTTAATGTTTCATACGCAAATCAGTTCTGATTCAGGTCATTCAATACTGAAAATATTGAAATTTATTTAATTTTGGGATGAGGGTAGTTAACCTCCCTATCTGGTTTCCAATATTGACATCAACCGACTTAGATTTTGCTTTTTCTTCTTTTAGATATCAACAACGTAGGCATTTAGCATCATTGACTACTCTTGGAAGGACGAAATAGCTGTGGGATTCTATTGTAGTTGTATTTCATTCCACTGTATCTAACATTAATTGTACTTTTTTACTACTTTTTAGACAAAATCAACATACCCTGCAACTCTTATTGTTATTTTTGTTTTTGGCAACGTACACAAGTACACTATTATGTATTAAAAAGTAATTATGATAAAAACTCAATAATTAGGTTTGAATAACCTTTTGTCCAAAATAATATATGGCTGGAGCACAAACTGTTAAGTTGTCCTTTGGCTGAAGTATTGACAATAAATATAATTGAATTGTTAGATTTTCTTGACGCTTGAACATAACATGACGATGTGATATGTTCGGACTAAAACATCTATTGGTATGAAGTAAAATCTAATGGTCTACCTCGACTTAAAATATATAAGGCAGCTATACAAATTTGTAAAACAAAGGCGGACACGAAACACAGGGTTTCTGAAGACCAATAGCTATAGCAGGCGATAGAATCAGCCATTATCTGGTTTGTATTGACGAAAAGAAGAGATATGAGCACAAACATTTGCAATGTAGTTTTCGTCTAGACTATATAAACATGCATTGCTTTCGGTTGACAATAAAAAGACAATGGAAAACCAACTATTCCGTTGTACTGTGGAAAACATGCAGTGATCATACACATTTTTCTAACTACGGTAGATACAGAATCACAAATGTGACCTTATACATCGAGCAAGGTTATGTGATAATAAATGCATCAGTGCAGTGATATAGATTTACAATTATGAAAGTACTAAAATGAAACATTATCCATGTCGATAATCTGATAATTTGGTTACCACAACAACAATTTCCTTTTCCACGTGGATTATCCTTATTCTGATCAAAGTCTTGTAAAATGTCATTTACACACTAATGTTCCTGAAATAATGTATATACTTACATCACCGTTGTAATTGTTTTTGTAAAGATTAAGGATGTCGTGGTTTTGTGCCCCGAAGGCCAGCGTTGCCAAAGAGAGTATGTAGAGAACCTGCATTGTCACAGATGACGTACAGAGAAAGAGGTATGATTAATAGTGTTATATATATGTAGAACTCTCGTACTGGCTATCAAAAGATTATATAACGGAACGAAGATAGATAACGCAGGCCGTCACCTGACTAAAGGCGTCCAAAATCTACCTACATGAAGGTTCTCAACACTGCTTTCTAGGTCAACCTTGAAAGGAGAAAATTAGGGCTACTCCGAATACACTAATGGATTCAGAGCAGAAATATGATGAAACTTTAACGATTTGACAAAACGGAGTTAACTATACATTTAACGTTTTATTTTGAAGATTTTCTGCCGTAAGACGTCAACCATGGTAGGTTAGTTTTATAAGTATGATATAATTATCCTATAATTTATTTTTTCGATGGGTATTCTTTCATTTAAAAGACAGATTATTTTTCGAATGCATACCTTAAACATTCTCTTAATACTCGAAGTTAATGCAATAAGTACGGAAATTGGAAAAATTACAGACAGCACCGCATGCAAATTCCCCTCCCGACAACCACGTGTGCCATGTAAACAAAATTTAAATATGGTCATAAATAGATTCGGAGAGTAACTCAAAGTCACAATGTCTTGGTTTTAACGAACAAACTTTGAGTTAAATGGTTGTTTAGCTGTATAGTGGCGTCTTGTTTGTCGTTTCCCACCTGTTTCCAAACTTTAACATTAATTCAGCTCTTCTGTCGGGAACCTGTTCATGAAATGTTCTTTGTTTCTTGCATGAGACAGGTTTTTAGCTATTTTATGAGTAATCTATTTCTTACGATTCGGTAGCCATTTGATTTGTTTGTATATTACAGCATATTTATCTGCATTCCATGTTAGACGATTCAATATGTAGTATCGTGTGATAATAAAACCATCATTCAACTCTCAGACAGTTGTAAAACTTTTAGACAGGAGCATTAGCTATATATAAAAACATAAAAATAGAATTTTGATATATCTACCTTCAATATTTCTATGACATTTGAGTCATTGCGCCCCAAGAAGTTCAGATTTGAAATTACTACTTCCATTCATAAAATGTCGTTCATAAAAGCACCATTTTGACCAGTCAGAGCGCTGTGTATGTACCACTGGATCCGTAAAGCAAGATTTATCAGGATTTATATCAGAAGACGGTTGCACTTCCGGAACACCTGGTCTTATCCTCATTGTACAGTAGACTCCGTTTAAATCTTCCTTTTGTTCATATAATACCCTTATTTTGTAAAGATTGAGTTTGAATTATAACTGGCATTTTCTTGTTTGTTTTGTTTGTTTTTTTAGATAAAATAATATGTTAGATTGATCTAGTTTGTAAGCATATAGGTTACATACCAAAATTGTAATACTCTGACGCTAATGTTACGTTATTAAGCTTTTTGACATAAATGATATTACGTGAAGTTTTGTACACCTCTCCCTCGGCCTGGACCCAATATAACTTGTACTCGGACGACAAGAATAGATAAATAGCTCAAGATAGACAGATAGAAAGATAGACGTTATCAATAAGCTTTAGGTTTAAATAACAGATGCCCTCCTCATGTATTTGATTCTATCCAACCTTTTATAAACAATAATACTGCTCCTTATCCACTTCGACACAATAGATTGTTTGATGTGCCCCATACAAGAACTTGTCAATATAGCACTAGCTTCTTTCCAAAACTCATGAATGAATGGAATGGTCCATCTTGTCTGTATCCCTCATTAACTTCTATTTATGCGATAAAAAAACTTTTTTATCACAGCAAGCTACCATTCCTCCTTTCCACTGTAACGAAAATTTCAAATATAAAGGACAAAGAAAAGCTAACATAATTTTATGTCAAATAAGAAACTCTGCAAGTAATCTGAATTTTGATTTATTCAATTCCCACCTGAAAGATAACCCTGCCTGTAACTGTGGCCACCCAGTTGAAGATTGTACTCGCTTCTTTTTCCACTGTCCTTTCTTTACTAACCAGACACAACTCCTCTTCAATTCCCTTTCTGACCTTAGTGATTCTATACCTCCTACAATTGATACATTTCTTAAAGGTTCTCCTATACTTGATGCAAACATGAATAAATTTATTCTTGATATAGTTCAGAGATTCATAACTGACACTGGTCGCCTGTTTTAGCAAATGTACATCCCATTCTATACTTCTATCTTTTCTATCTTTCATTTGTATTTCATGTCTCAAGTGTGGGTCCGCCTGTCCATTTTAGGGACTCAGCTCAGGATTGTGTGCAAATGGACTGTTTGAACCTGCAGCCTGTCCCACCACAAATGGACATATTTTGACCCAGTCTTGTAATATCTTGTGATACCTAATTGTACTTTTTAGTTTATGTTACTGCTCTGGAACTCAATAATACAAATGATGGTGATGCCTATTTTGCATTTCTGTTATATAATCATCCATTTGAATCAATCTTCTACATTCTTATTCCTAATATTATTATTATCTGTTATCTTTAATTTTGATTGATGTGTCTGTATACTTGTTTATGCACTGTAAGGAGAGGGCTTTCATAGGCTCTGCCTGTTGCCCAATTCCTATTGTCAATACCACCAAGACAATAAAATATTCTGAAATCAGAAAGCTTTAGGTTTACACAAACCATTTGTTGTTTGACGACTACAAGATATGATTAACTTAACTAAAATTTTGATTACTTCTACAGTATTTAGAGAAATTTGTCCAATAATAATCCCGTGAGAAAGTTCTATTTCTTGTATCTCAATATTGAAAATTAAACGACTATGGATGATTGAGAAACTCTTCATTTTTTCTTTCAAAATGTTAACAATCCTGTTTTTCTCTTTCTTCGTATAACAATGTTAACTTTTGTGTATCTCTCCCAATGACTGAATGGGTATAAAACAGACAATTTGCCCATCGCTTTTCAAATATTTCTTCTTCATTGATGCTGCATATATATATATATATAAATGCAGGGGTCGTAATTAACTGTTTTAAACCATTGCTAGTGCCTAAAATTTCCACTAACAAAAATGATGAACAAACTAGCAATTATGTTTCGTCAAAAATAGTGATTAGGTATAGTTCATTTCCACTCGCAAAATTTTGCTAGTTCATTATTTTCCAGCTAGCAATTACTAGATTTTAGCTGGAATTTTGCTAGTTGTATATAGTTAATTTCAAACCCTGTAAATGTAGATAACGAAATAATTTTGAAGTTATAATCCATGGCGGAACGCCACCTAAAATGTAGTTTTGAAAAAAAAAATATCACAAACATATTTATCTGACACTAGTTTATATTTACTTTAGAATGTTTGTTTATCCTATTAGGGCATTCAAGCTGTTATTAATTATAACCGCGTATTGCTAAAGCAGTACATTTCTCCTACCAACCCGCAGATGCTATCATATTATACCGATTTATAAAGAAGGTGTTGCTTGATATTAACAATGTGAAAAGGAAAAAGTACACAATTAGTTTGAAATTGATGTTAATGGGGAAAATGCAGTAAATACGTTATACAACCTGACAATACAGTTTCATTAGCGATGTGTAATAATATATATTGGTAATTTTGTAAATTTGAAATTTTATCAAAGTCAAAATCCAGTATGGAATAAAGCCGACAGACTGATAACGATTTTTCTAAAAATAGTAATGGTGGTCTTGACCTTTCCTCACAACCCTGAAACTAGAACATGTCTGAGATAATGATTTGTTTTATAAATGTGAAAATTGAGTAATTCCAGGAATTAAGGTGACAACCCTTTCTTCCAAATAGTCGCCCTGGCCTTCAACGTACAACCCTGAAAATTTCTCCAAAAGAATGTGATGTTTTGTAAGTTTTTAAAAAAAATTAATGAAAATTCCTCCAGCGATGGCAAAAACTGACAACAATATTCTAAAAATAGTAACTGTACCCTTTTTGACCATAACCCAACAACTCTGAAACGCGAACTTTCCAAAACTTTCCAAGATATTTTGCCTACAAAAAGGTTGAAGCTTTTTGAGATAAGTGCTCAGGTCAGTACTGCTGACCAGGTTGTCTTACAACGTGGTGAACACATCTTAGCATCACTTCCTAAAAAATTCGACCACATTTGCTTTTTGCGAGAGCTGTTCTTTGATATTTTTCAACCATATTAAGTACTTCATCATATTTGTCTCCCAGGTGAGTATTTGAAATACATGTAACATTTTTTCACTGGTTTTGCCCGACGACCTTGAACCCCAGACGATGGTGAACACAATTTTTCCCTACCAAGTATTGGTGATACTGATCGCATTTGATTTGTTTCGGCTCAGCAGTTCTTTAGAAGAACCTCAACATGTGAAAAGAAAACAGACGACGCATGACGGACAAAAGTCCCAGTTAAATCTTACAGATAAATAGTTGCTATGTCAAGCTTCCTGGTGTTGTATGATCAAGTGATATAACTTCAAAAATAGACCCACAGCACGTTATCCATATTATAGGTAAATTGTATACAGGAACATAGTTTCCACACACTCTATAGACTGTGGACAACATATTTCATAAAATGTCCACTCAGTTTACCGGTATTAAAACGATTGGTTTATTTTTCTCATCACGTCCATGACCAAGTCGCCATTGTCTAAGCCAGTATCAGTGGATTAACAGTATCTAATACGATGAATATTTGATGCACGTTCTTAATATTCAGCAACGTATTTTCGATTGATGCAATTTGGTCATTGTAACTCTTAATTTGTTCGGTTTTAATTGATGTTTAAATATTTAATTTTCAGCATTTCCACCATTCACATCAATTACAGTTATTTTTCTGTTGTTTGTGTCCTCATTTCATGCAGTACGTTGATTCCTCTCTGGTTTTCATTCCATTTCTGCCCATACTTTAGGTGCTTGATTTAACCATTTTTAACCATAATTCCGAAAGTTTCTTTCCTGTCCTTTAGATATGCCATATCTGTATATTTAACTGACATTCGTTAAATATTTGATCAAATTTGTAATAAAATAGTATATTTTAAATATATGTATGTCTTTGTCTCCGGTACTTTAATCAGCTTGGTGATACGTATTTAAATGATAACGCCCTTCATTAGGTCATGGACAAGCGCGAAACATTCATGTTTGACCCACAGGTCAGCTGGTGTTGTAAACGGTCATGACTCCACTCAAACAGTACTCAGAAAGACCATTACAGACTTTGTCAGTTCCTAATCAAATACGCCGTACCAATACCAGTCCGTGTTGAATATCGTTTGCAAGGCTCTTTACGTGGACTTCAAATATTTTTTAAAAAATGTATATATAGAGGTTACATAACGGAAATACTATGAAAAGGATGTTAGACAATTTATATATCATTGTTATTTACCGTCAGAATTCGAACATTTGTAGAAACTGATTGAAACGCTAACATCACTTTTTGACTACAGATTCCTGAAGTTACTCGCGCCGACGATGTGTCATGGTTTGCGTATGAGTATTTAAAATAACATACATCAGGATCACTGGCAGTTTGTAAAGTTATCATGTATTATATCTAAAATATAAAGTAACGTAAATCAAAACGTATCTTTTTCTACACAATAATAACCATGAGTAATTACTTCGTGTCAGAGACTTTTGTAATAAACTTATTCTCATCAACGACAGTCATGATCTCATCTTTCACCGTTTTGATTTGTGGAGACAGAAACTGTATTAGGAGTTGGTTAGACCTCGTGTTGTCTATTCCAGAACGGCCAAGCATTCGCTATACTGCACGGCGTTTATTGTGTTATCGTAAGAGGGAAGGGTGAATGTTGAAGCTAGCCTGGACGAGACTAGATGCAGCCACGCCAACATATGACATTTTAGACATTTTATGGTATTTTAGAAATTTGGTTAGACTTGCAATATACAACTAAGAGTGACAGGGAAATATGAGGCATCGACTTCAATTTATGCTAACTGGAAAAAATTCAACAATACGTATTTCATTTTTCTAGTAAAATCGATATGTCTTGAAGTATTCCGAATATGACTCGAAACTTAATCCAATATATTTCAAGTTTTAAATATTTCTTTATTAATAAGTTGGTAGATTAAGAAAGAAAACTATAAAATTACACTGATGCTCAGATAAAGATCCATAAAAACGTGATTCAGAAAATCGAGAAGATACTGGTGCACGTCCGGAAAGGTTTAGTCATTGGCAATCATAACCGTGTTTCGATCCAGATTGCTTAATCAGGATGAAAGGGTGCAGCTGAACCAAGCTTCATAACATTTTGATGTACTGCAAAACGACAAGGAAAACAACTGAGGAGATTCGCTTTTTTCTAGGCGTTAAAACAATGTTCTATATCGGCATTAAGATACAATGGTCGATATCGGTATTAAGATAAAATTTCCTGTATCGGTATTAAGATACAATGTTCTATATCGGTATTAAGATACAATGTTCTATATCGGTATTAAGATACAATGTTCTATATCGGTATTAAGAAACAATGTTCTATATCGGTATTAAGATACAATGTTCTATATCGGCATTAAAAAACACAACCTAATATTCATTAGAAATTATATGCCTGTAGAAGTAAATTAGTTTGGTTAGTTATGTAGTAATACCCATCAGTGATAAATCAGCATTCTTTAAAGGCCAAACATAGTCTGATAGATTGGAGTTTTATTTTTTTTTAGATTGAATATGTTTGGATTTATTGGTGAACAGTACAGGTAAATTTAAGGGTATTCCTGTTGTTAAACTTATCAGAACTGTATTGTTTGAACGTGTGGTTTTCGACATCCCACACTTTCTTCTCTTGGGTACGGCCCTCCTTTCATCCAGATCATTTCTTTGTCTTGTTTGTTTGTTCATCACGACTTCTTGCTACTAAAGCACAAATCATGATAGTCATTGTAGTATCTTCTGTTGATAAATCATACCTGATTAGCTTATAATGATAACGAAGTAATCATTCGGAATTGATTGCCTGTGATAGTTGAAACATATCTTTAAAAACAAAAAAGCTAAATTTGATATGAAGAGCAAATACCCCTTTTTATGTATCAAAGTTATCTATTTATCGATGACGTAGAGTGTTTTAACGGTGATAATTCATGATCAGAATAAATTGCACACAAGTACATTTTTTATCTATATAATTCGAAAATCAATCAAAAAAAAAAAAATCGCCTTCATCAATTTCACTGTTTTTAGGTGTCAATCACCGTCAATGACGAAACAGTGTGTTTACATATCTGAGTGTGAATATAAATATTCAAGTTTTTCACCTTTAAGTTTGTAATACGGATATTTTAACCATAACAGCAAGAGTATGAACAATATTTTTATTGTTATTTTCTAGGTACAGACATAATTCATCATGGGGTGATTCATGTACTATGTACATATATCTACCTACATTGCACGTCATCACGCAGGTCAACAGCTAAAAGCGAAAGAGTTAATAACAACAATGCAGTGACACTTGGGCACAAATACCAAAATCTATCAAACGCACAAATACCAATAAAACCTTTCTTAAGACTTTCTCACATCTAAAATGAAATTTGGGGGAAAAAATTCACATTAAGTACAGGACGACACGAAATTTAGACATCTGTTAACAGGAATAGCGTGGGGACGTGTAATGGCGGCGCTCCATCACTATGGCGGCGATGTGATATACCAGACACAATCAATTTCAACAGATATATTTCATTTTATAAAATAATAGAAATTGTCTTTTTTTCTGTCAAATCGAAAAAGGTGGTTTATCGCTATGATAAATACCATATAACTATTGCTTAAGTGTGGATAGGAAGACAGAACTATACAATAGGTGGAATTTTGAAAAAAATGAAAATATTTCTTTTCTTTTATCTCGAGGAAAAATGTAAAATCTACTATGTCTTGAAAACGTTCCTAATATGAATGTCATTCAAAGAGTAATACAGACATATACTTTGATGCTTAGCATTCAAGACGATAAAGATAGCGTATACCTGGTAAAAATGAAATATTATAGGAAGTTCACATATCGTGCATACATGAGGTTAAGGCAGAGGTTACACCGAACGGTTAATGCTCAACGTGAAGTAAAAGTTATTCGTCATAGCAACAGATACATAAATGGACTTATTCTATGCACAGCGTGTAACATTTGCAATATATACATGTATATACAAGAGATCTCATCGAGCATTTTGGCTTCCACCATCGTTTGATCTTTTTCGTTCTTTACAAGTTCGCTCTTTCACTTTAATTTTTTCCTTCTGCTTCTGCTCTTAATCTTATGAAATTTAAAAATTTCTCAAAGAAATTGCGATAATAATATACTGCTAAATCCAAGATGGTCATTGTCCGCCATTTTGTTTTTCTAATTAATCCCAGAGTCTAAAGGACACCACTATGGACCACGGGAACATATACATGAAATTTGAGAAAGTTCTGTCCAATTTTCCCAAGAAAAAAGTGATAACAAACTTTAGTTGTAAAAATCCAAGATGGCCGCCTGTCAGCCATTTTAGTTTTTCTGACTAATCCCAAATATAAACAGGCACAATTAGGGGCCAAGAGGAACCTATTTTGGAATTTGAGAATGATCTATCCAGTGTTTGTCAAGTAGGAGCGATAACAAGGACGGGCGACGGACGAAGGGTGATTTAATGATTGGCTAATAAATGATTGAGAAATTCGATTAGAATGAAACACATTATATTCTTAAAACAGAATATTTCGAAAGTTAACCTACATGTATACACAGACCTTAAATCCGATACGAATTCCTTATCGAAATTACACGCAGAAAACCGCATCATTCACATAGTGCACTTAATGACACAGAGAATATATCTTGATTGAAACACAATACGTGGAAGCTACCAGCATATTGTCGAGACAGTCAGTCAGAATACGTAAACAGTTGAATATGATACCATTCTGGAAAGATCTGTGGATTCGCGTGAGAAAGTAGAAAAACCCAATTACAGTACCTTCAATCGGATCTAGTATTTATCGTCAATCCATGTCTTTAACAATTATACTGAAATTGTTGGTGGATTAAGACAGAATAGCAATCCCTGAAAAAAATCAGTTAGGGATGTTAATTGTGTGTTTTGTTCTATTAACATCCAGACTTGAATGGCACCAGCTAGTTGAAGCGATATATAAAATTTTCTGTTTCTAATATTTCCCGGACACATGCTGAGAACTGTAATTACGTTGTCGATCGGGATACAACATAAGTACAACGTAGGGGTAAAAGACACACCAACCGATGACGTGTGTCACAGTACACAGACACGTAGACAGAATTCGTATACATGGTATATCATGTGACACGCACTTAATAATGACGTATTTATATAACACAAATCATTAGTATTTTATAAATATCAAAGTTAGCACATAACGATAGAAACAGAAAATGTAAAATATTACGTTTGTTGGGAAAATAAAATAATGTACATGTTTGACTGGTAAGTAGCTAGGAACCAACAACTCAATAATCCAACAGTAGAATGTAAACCAGCTTAATAAGCTCGTGGCCTCCTTGGAATCCCATTACCAGGTCTTAGTTCACAAAAACACAAATGTGCTATTTTCGTGATATTTTTAACATTGATTAGACCATATACATTTTTTCTTTTAATTATTTCTAAGCTAACCAGATAAAACTAAATCAGGAATTTTTAAAATAAGAAAAACTACTTTCTGTATAATAAAAAGTGAAATGTTTTCTAATCAAATATGCTACTTTTTGTATAACAAGACCCAATAGCCAATCCCCTCATTTTTGGACGATGTTGATTCGTGTACACAAAAACAATCTGTAAATTAGCTTAGAATGTTGCGTTGGTCAATAACTGGTTAGGGTCACAGCATACCAAAGAACACTTCTCTACATTATTTTCGAAAACTGAGCTGCATATACCTGAAAGTTTAATGGTGCCTAACAAATACAGATTATTATACTCTTACTTGATTCGTTCGTCCAAAATCCTATACCTTCAGACTAACTCTCTCGGTTGATCCAATACGTTACTCAGTCAATTAAGAGCCGTAGTTATTGATCACGAGACTAGAACGCGGGGAGTAGTAGTTAATCCTCAAATTTTGCATGTTTCTAAGTTTGGATATATACAGCACTATAGATCATACCAACGTTCTACACATATTAAATAATCTAAATCTGGCGAATTAGAAACACTCTTTATGTCCAAACCCCTTGATCAGGTGTCCACTACCTGTAACGCGTATCCCTTCAATGAAGCAGAACATTTACCATCTGTAGTTCCAACATCAAATATCGCCGAGAATAGTCTTTTATCCAAAATAAAACTAATGAAAAGGAAAGTCTCGCTTAACAAGACTTTTTTCAGTCAATTCTGTCGGCAAAGCAAAGTCTCGCTAATCCGGAAATTTTCTCTCGGTGAAGTGGCGTCTCACTGGCACAAAATCAATCCTAATTGTAATGAACACATACTGATCTGAAGAGAATCTTCTTTTGTTGCAGCGTGAAAAATTCTCGTGATGCAGCGGAGTCTCGCTTATCCAAATAACTTCTTTATAAATATTATAAGTATTATATATATTACGCAGAACTTTCTCCAAATGCATGGACTTCTCTTCCTTGTCTTTTCACACCACTAGCAATGTAAGGAAATCTCGATAATGCGAACAAAAATGTTCCTGTGTATCTCGTTTCCGTGGCATCCAAACCCAGTACGGACAATATTTTTACATGGGCGTATCTTTGAGAATGGGTCTCGTACGCCTGTGGATTGGATAATTCCTAAATTGATTGAGTGTTTGTTTATTTGGTTTATCGCCCTTAAACAGCTAGGGCCATATTGTGACAAGGTCCTATAGCAGTTCTTGTAAGTGGTTGGTAACTCATTGAACAACATACGGAAGGCCCGTTGCATGCCATCCCGAGCAATTGAGCTAAATGTTCCTGCTCAAGGACACATCATGACAGCACAGACCGGTTTATTTCTCATATTTCTAAGGAATAAAAACCGCCACAAGTAGGATTTGTTTCCAGATTTTTTGATAGTGCTAGGACTGGAGATATATAATTGTGGTTCCTTAACCAGATATTGACCAGTATAGACATTGTAAACTATCTCTACATCCGTTATGATTGACAGCTTGAAATTTTCCTAGAGGTAAACAGATTTATAATCCAAATGATAAGAATACCATACAGTAGATTTCCGAAATGTAGAGTGCTTGCACCATTTGGATTGGAGGCAACGTACAATGTGTTACCAACTTCCGGAAGATCATTTTGAGCCATAAATCTTTGAAATTCTGGCGGATCTTTTGTGTCAAAGGTTGTTACTTGGAATGCTGCAAAGTAACCCGATAGAGTTTCCATCTTAAACTTGATCGTTCCAAAATTTAACACAAACGCGGCGAATCCAAGAGTCTCGAAATGGAATTCGTCTTTCATAGCTTTCGGATACAAGCCCAATGTCACCACTCCGTATTTGATAATCAGTTTTCCTGTTGTACCGTTGACAGCCACAATCATTCTTCCGTAAGCTGGATTTTCATATTCTCCAACATAGTAAGTCGTATTTCTAGGAAGAGCACGTGTTTTGTCGATCAAGGGTTTTGGCTTCTCCTTGCCAGGTCTAAACCATGGTTCTGGAAAGGAACATATGGTTGACCCATTAAGCCATGGAGTCTCCTCCAGGTACATATCTGCCAAATAATTATGTATATTTGTCCTCAAAATGTAGCCGTAATCTTCCCCCGTCAGTGACGTGTAGACACCAAGGCGCATGGCCGGAAAAAGTGTTATTAGTGCTCTGTATCCCCATGTCGATCCTGAATGTGTCAATATTTCATATCCTATAAAGAAAAGAAACCATATATCAACCTATTTTAATGCAACTCACTGCTGTTACTGAAAAATGTAATAAAATCGCTAAAGATGATAATCATTTTGGTACTCTCTTTTAACTGTCCACCATCATGCGACTTTCAGAAAAAGAAAAAAAAAATCTTACAGTCAAAGAATAGAAATAAGAAGGTGTTTATGCAATAATATTAACGTTTATGTTAAGGACCATATCAGCTGTACAACAATTAGATGGTCTGCCCACACGAGGACATTTTTATAAGGTTTACCTGCCGAAATATACGCTATGGAATCCCATTTTTCAAAAACGTCTGCTCAATGCCTGCAATTTTGTTTCCAAAGAGTTTAAAGGGTTAGGATGTTACAAAAGTAAAACTTCCTACTTCAACAACAGCAACTAGGACCGTCAGAGAGTCAGAGACGGGTAATGCTCCTTGAATGGAACAAAATTTAAGTATGAAAAAGACCAAAGGGCAATAACCTTTCTCGATTAGATCTATCTACCTATGAGGTTTCATGTGGATACATCTTATAGCTTTAGTGTAATGCTTCGGACAAAATTCAAGTAAAAAAAAAAAAAAACAAAACAATTGGCAATTACTCCTAAATTATAAAAAGAGAGTTATGGTTCTTGTACAGTGCACTGCTCCTTGATGAGATATACCTACCTATGAAGATCTATGTTGATACCTTATATGGTTTTTCTGTTATGATCTGGACAAAATTATAACGGACGGACGAACGGACGGACAAAGCGGCGACTATTTGCTTTCCCTTCGAGGTGCATGATAACGCCAGAAACTTATCGACTACTTTTTCCTTAAGTAGTAAGCTACTTTTGATAGCTTATAGGTAACCTGCTTACTGCACAGTTGAGCAAATAGCACATAAATTAACGGTGTCGTAGATGTAGACCGCAGTTCCCTTTCGATTATGACTGGACGGCTCAAAGCTCAGCCGGGACATTTTTCATTTATTTATTTTTCAAAATTATATCTAGTTCATTTTTAAGAGTCTATTATTTGAAGCACGAAATTAGATAATAACGAATCATTTATGAAAATTGTTTTTTAACACACAGGTTTGCATTTTTTTTGTTTTTGTTTTTGTTTTTTCACTACTACTGTATCACTTATAACAGGTCCACGGTATTGGGACAGAGTGGCATTTTGAGTATGTTTAAATATAAATACTTATCACCGGTTAGAGGTGATAATAACTAGAAATTGTCATAGACAATTTTGACGGGCTTTTCACCTTTTCTGGCCTGTAATTAAAGGCAATGCCTGCAATACACTGGCACTCTGTATGAAATCAAAGTACAAAAAAAATCATCAATAGTAAGAGATCAAAGAACTGAGTGTACTGTTTTTCAAAATAATGCTGTATAACGTTAATTGACCCCTGTGACATTGAAAGTGGGTCAAGGTCATCCAAATAAACAACAATTATAGACAATTATATCAACTTTATACGTATCAGATACCAAGTCTCTAGGTCTTTCCAAACTTGAGAAGGAAGTTTCGTATACTGTGGTACTCTACATTGCACTTTTGAAATTCGATCCCCTTATAAAAACCGGAAATTGGTCTTTTATGAAAGTTTTGCTTATTCCAATTAAAAGCAAGTCTGCAGAAGTATGTTGACCAAATTACGTAAACGTCATTTAATGATATCAATATAATTGACCCTCGTAACCTAGAAAGTGGGTCAAGGTCATCCATATAAACAAACATAATAGACAATATATTTGTGAACCATCGAACCTCTAGGCCTTTCAAAACATAAGAGAAGAAGTTTCTGGTAGTTTAGTACCCTAAATTGCACTTTCGATCCCTACCGAAAACCGGAAGTAGACGTTTTACACAAAAAGTCACTTATTTTCAATTTTACATAACATATGCAAAGACAATTTCAAAATATCAGGTCATTATTGAGATATTGACGTTAGGGCAAAAATCAAATTTGACGTTATGGCGGCCATTTTGTTTCGGAAATTGAAAATCACGTCAGAATTTAGAGTGCACGTTACCAAACATACTACATAACAATTAAACAAAATTTCATAGTAGGATCTTGGAGTAATTTTAGTTCAAGGGTTTTGTCTGCACTTTACATTGAACTATGGGAATTTTTAAAAATGACGTAAAATGTCAAAGAAAGGCGTCACAGAAGATATGTAAACACTAAAATGATCGGATTGACATTCTGCATTGATCTGTGGTTTTTTTCACCTACTTAAAAATGCGGCGTTAACAAGTTCAGATGTACTTCCATAACATACTATATGATGCGTGTCTATCCCTTACCATTTAAAAGATTACGAACCCCCTAATTCGGAAGACGAATAATAATAAGAAACATAACAAAAACAATAGGGTCTTTTCACCTTTCGTTGAAAAGCCCTAATAACACCTTATCAAGTACACGCCAGTGATCAGATACATTCCTAGATAGCAATATCCCCATTTCCTAAACCTATGGTGATTACATGTTGCAGTTAATCGATATTCAAGGGCTTGTTCCCAATATCGCGATTTTTGTGAAATAGGTTGACAACTGACGGATAGGCTCACTACGGAGGGTTTTGAGAGTTAAATGCCTGTTCGTGAAATTCACGGGGAAGATTTACGGTATATGGATGCCACCAGGAAAAATTCGACTTCCTTGGAGAAGTGGGGTTGGACATGTCTACATGTCGGTATTTTCTTTGTTGTACATTTACAGATCACAAGATGAGATTTTGTAGTACAGTTCTGTTCCAATCAAAATCTGTACTGAGGGGCACCGATCAAAACCAGAATTTATATCTATATGAAAGAAACAAGGAGAAACCATAGGCAGAGGCGGGTATACAGCATAAAACATCTAAAACACATTTCGATCTACTCACCCCAAAGGCACGTGGGCTTTTCAATTTTTAAAACATACACATATATATTTATCTACCAATCACACACAAATGTATCCTTAAATCACACACAACTGTATCCTTAAATCACACACAACTGTATCCTTAAATCACACACAACTGTATCCTTACACACAACTCACACACACTGTATCACACACAACTGTATCCTTAAATCACACACAACTGTATCCTTAAATCACACACAAATGTATCCTTAAATCACACACAGTTGTATCCTTAAATCACACAACTGTATCCTGAAATCACACACAGTTGTATCCTTAAATCACACTGCTGTATCCTTAAATCACACACAGTTGTATCCTTAAATCACACAGCTGTATCCTTAAATCACACAGCTGTATCCTTAAATCACACACAGCTGTATCCTTAAATCACACACAGCTGTATCCTTAAATCACACACAGCTGTATCCTTAAATCACACACAACTGTATCCTTAAATCACACACAACTGTATACTTAAATCACACACAAATGTATCCTTAAATCACACACAACTGTATCCTTAAATCACACAGTTGTATCATTAAATCACACAGCTGTATCCTTAAATCACACACAACTGTATCCTTAAATCACACACAGCTGTATCCTTAAATCACACACAGCTGTATCCTTAAATCACACACAGCTGTATCCTTAAATCACACACAATTGTATCCTTAAATCACACACAACTGTATCCTTAAATCACACACAGATGTATCCTTGAATCACATACAGCTGTTTCCTTAAATCACACACAGTTGTATCCTTAAATCACACAGCTGTATCCTTAAATCACACACAACTTTATCACTAAATCACACACAGCTGTATCCTTAAATCACACACAGCTGTATCCTTAAATCAAACACAACTGTATCCTTAAATCACACACAACTGTATCCTTAAATCATACAACTGTATCCCTAAATCATACACAGCTGTATCCTTAAATCACACACAACTTTATCCCTAAATCACACACAGCTGTATCCTTAAATCACACACAGCTGTATCCTTAAATCACACACAGCTGTATCCTTAAATCACACACAGCTGTATCCTTAAATCACACACAGCTGTATCCTTAAATCACACACAACTGTATCCTTAAATCACACACAACTGTATCCTTAAATCACACACAACTGTATCCTTAAATCACACACAGCTGTATCCTTAAATCACACACAACTGTATCCTTAAATCACACACAACTGTATCCTTAAATCACACACAACTGTATCCTTAAATCAAACACAACTGTATCCTTAAATCACACACAACTGTATCCTTAAATCACACACAACTGTATCCTTAAATCACACACAGCTGTATCCTTAAATCACACACAGCTGTATCCTTAAATCAAACACAACTGTATCCTTAAATCACACACAACTGTATCCTTAAATCACACACAAATGTATCCTTAAATCACACACAACTGTATCCTTAAATCACACACAGCTGTATCCTTAAATCACACAGAGCTGTATCCTCAAATCACACAGCTGTATCCTTAAATCACACACAACTGTATCCTTAAATCACACACAGCTGTATCCTTAAATCACACACAACTGTATCCTTAAATCACACACAACTGTATCCTTAAATCACACACAGCTGTATCCTTAAATCACACACAACTGTATCCTTAAATCACACACAACTGTATCCTTAAATCACACACAACTGTATCCTTAAATCACACACAACTGTATCCTTAAATCACACACAACTGTATCCTTAAATCACACACAGCTGTATCCTTAAATCACACACAGTTGTATCCTTAAATGACACACAGCTGTATCCTTAAATCATACAACTGTATCATTAAATCACACTACCTGTATCCTTAAATCACGCACAACTTTATCCTTAAATCACACACAGCTGTATCCTTAAATCACACACAGCTGTATCCTTAAATCACACACAACTGTATCCTTAAATCACACACAACTGTATCCTTAAATCACACACAACTTTATCCTTAAATCACACACAGCTGTACCCTTAAATCACACAGCTGTATCCTTAAATCACACACAACTGTATCCTTAAATCACACACAACTGTATCCTTAAATCACACACAGCTGTATCCTTAAATCACACACAACTGTATCCTTAAATCACACACAACTGTATCCTTAAATCACACACAACTGTATCCTGAAATCACACACAACTTTATCCCTAAATCATACACAGCTGTACCCTTAAATCACACAGCTGTATCCTTAAATCACACACAGCTGTATCCTTAAATCACACACAACTGTATCCTTAAATCACACACAGCTGTATCCTTAAATCACACACAACTGTATCACACACAGCTTAAATCACACACACACAGCTGTATCCTTAAATCACACACAATTGTATCCTTAAATCACACACAACTGTATCCTTAAATCACACACAGCTGTATCCTTAAATCACACACAACTGTATCCTTAAATCACACACAACTGTATCCTTAAATCACACACAGCTGTATCCTTAAATCACACACAACTGTATCCTTAAATCACACACAACTGTATCACACACACACACAACTTAAATCACACACAACTGTATCCTTAAATCACACACAGCTGTATCCTTAAATCACACACAGTTGTATCCTTAAATCACACAGCTGTATCCTTAAATCACATACAGCTGTATCCTTAAATCACACACAGCTGTATCCTCTAATCACACACAAATGTATCCTTCAATCACACACAACTGTATCCTTAAATCATACAACTGTATCCTTAAATCACACACAGCTGTATCCTTAAATCACACACAGATGTATCCTTGAATCACATACAGCTGTTTCCTTAAATCACACACAGCTGTATCCTTAAATCACACACAATTGTATCCTTAAATCACAGACAATTGTATCCTTAAATCACACACAGCTGTATCCTTAAATCACACACAACTGTATCCTTAAATCACACACAACTGTATCCTTAAATCACACACAGCTGTATCCTTAAATCACACACAACTGTATCCTTAAATCACACACAGCTGTATCCTTAAATCACACACAGCTGTATCCTTAAATCACACACAGCTGTATCCTTAAATCACACAGCTGTATCCTTAAATCACACAACTGTATCCTTAAATCACACACAAATGTATCCTTAAATCACACATAGCTGTATCCTTAAATCACACACAACTGTATCCTTAAATCACACACAGCTGTATCCTTAAATCAAACACAACTGTATCCTTAAATCACACACAACTGTATCCTTAAATCAAACGCAACTGTATCCTTAAATCACACAACTGTATCCTTAAATCACACAACTGTATCCTTAAATCACACACAGCTGTATCCTTAAATCACACACAACTGTATCCTTAAATCACACAACTGTATCCTTAAATCACACACAACTGTATCCTTAAATCACACACAGCTGTATCCTTAAATCACACACAACTGTATCCTTAAATCACACAACTGTATCCTTAAATCACACACAGCTGTATCCTTAAATCACACACAACTGTATCCTTAAATCACACACAGCTGTATCCTTAAATCACACACAGCTGTATCCTTAAATCACACACAGCTGTATCCTTAAATCACACACAATTATTTCCTTAAATCACACACAACTGTATCTTCAAAACATATATCAAGAAACGTTTGATCCATAAACATACATATATCTCACACGTGTTAAATTTAAGAAAAGTTGATAGATTGAAAACAGTCATTTAATTCAATGAAGTCAGTTGTTAAGATTTTACCTGATGTGCTGATTGGCAGCTTAAGGACAAGACTCAAAACCGAAATTTACTTTTGTGTGTCCTTGGCAAGTCTGTATTCTTTATGATGGAATTTTCTGCAATAGCTATTTGCATATCATTTTCTATAAGCACGAACTTTAGTATTCTTCTTTGTGCAGAAAGACAAATGCCGACAGTGCTATTGAAAACGCGCCATTCCATTGACTAACTGGTAATGGACCATTTGTAAAGATTGTGAAGATCTGGATGGAAGTTAGCATGAGACATGAGGATAATACCGAAGTCGACCGTAGTAAAATCGGTTAAATGGAGATAATAGATTTAATTTCATATGGGTTCGTTAATGTATAACAGTGCGCTTAAACAGATCAAAGAAATTCCAATCACATGTATAATGTATTGGAAAATTGTGAAGACTACCATGGCAAAATGGCATGAATCTGATTTTTCTTTTTCAACTAAAATATTGTTTAAATGTTTACACTGGTGCATCGTTCAATCGTAATGTGTAAAAATTCAAACGTATTGAGTGTTTAAGCTTTATAGTTTTTTACAAATAGATCAATTGGAAGAATATTTTGTCGTCGAATTGAGCACTATTAATCAAATCCATTTTCTTCATGGCTGTGGAAAAATAAGTTTTCTTTGGTGTTCATAATGTCTTAATTGGAAGAGCTATGGAGCAAATCAATATTCCAACGTCCACGGCAACCAAGTAAGAACGATTTATTATTTCTCTAGAAAAATGAGAATTCATATCTAATTGAATATGTTATAAAATAATTCGTATCAAATTCATTGTCCTTAATGACAACTGACCTCGATAGTAGCCATTTTTCCACCCTAGGGCGTAGTTGGTCTGACAATGGGTATGGGGTACCACTGGTTTGGTGAAGTATTTGAAAATGGACGACTTGGCGATGGTATTATGAGCTTTGTGTGTGTGTGATAGCGCCCTCTCGTCCACGACTCTCACGGAGAATGAATTACGTCCCTTGTCAAGATGAAACATCATCCATTTGGCCATGTCATTTGCAGAACTCATTACACAACCGGATCCGCATAGGTTACCCCACTCTCTATAAAGAAAAAATAGCGAAGAAGACATTAATGCGTTTGCATTAAAACTCAAATGTTAACTCCCGAACTAACAAATTGAAATAGACATTTTAACAGCCTACAATAATGTACATCAAGTCTACGTATTGGCCAACAACAATGGTTCTGTGTAAACCATCGTGTATAATGAAATATGACATGTATGGTGATCATGAAACGTAATGGTGGCATTGTGTATGAACGCTCGCATGGTCCTGTTAATATATGATGGCGACTTTGTATTTGGGACGTGTGTTGTAGTGACGTTAATGTGTGATGGTGACTTTGTGTTTGGGGCGTGTGTTGTAGTGATGTTGATGTGTGGTAGTAACAGTGTGTTTGGGGCGTGTGTTGTAGTGACGTTAATGTGTGATGGTGACTTTGTGTTTGGGGCGTGTGTTGTAGTGATATTGATGTGTGATGGTGACTTTGTGTTGATGGCGTTTGTTGTAGTGATATTGATGTGTGATGGTGACAGTGTGTTTGGGGCGTGTGTTGTAGTAATGTTGATGTGTGATGGTGACAGTGTGTTTGGGGCGTGTGTTGTAGTGACGTTAATGTGTGATGGTGACTTTGTGTTTGGGGCGTGTGTTGTATTGATGTTTGTGAGGTGATAGTGACAATGTGTTTGGGGCGTGTGTTGTAGTGATATTGATGTGTGATGGTGACAGTGTGTTTGGTGCGTGTGTTGTAGTGACGTTAATGTGTGGTAGTAACAGTGTGTTTGGGGCGTGTGTTGTAGTGATGTTGATGTGTGGTAGTAACAGTGTGTTTGGGGCGTGTGTTGTAGTGATGTTGATGTGTGGTAGTAACAGTGTGTTTGGGGCGTGTGTTGTAGTGATGTTGATGTGTGATGGTGACTGTGTGTTTGGGAAGTGTGTTGTAGTGATGTTAATGTGTGATGGTGACTTTGTGTTTATGGCGTTTGTTGTAGTGATGTTGATGTGTGATGGTGACAGTGTGTTTGGGGAGTGTGTTGTAGTGACGTTAATGTGTGGTAGTAACAGTGTGTTTGGGGCGTGTGTTGTAGTGATGTTGATGTGTGATGGTGACTGTGTGTTTGGGGAGTGTGTTGTAGTGATGTTGATGTGTGATGGTGACAGTGTGTTTGGTGCGTGTGTTGTAGTGACGTTAATGTGTGGTAGTAACAGTGTGTTTGGGGCGTGTGTTGTAGTGATGTTGATGTGTGGTAGTAACAGTGTGTTTGGGGCGTGTGTTGTAGTGATGTTGATGTGTGATGGTGACAGTGTGTTTGGGGAGTGTGTTGTAGTGACGTTAATGTGTGGTAGTAACAGTGTGTTTGGGGCGTGTGTTGTAGTGATGTTGATGTGTGGTAGTAACAGTGTGTTTGGGGCATGTGTTGTAGTGATGTTGATGTGTGATGGTGACTGTGTGTTTGGGGAGTGTGTTGTAGTGATGTTGATGTGTGATGGTGACTTTGTGTTTATGGCGTTTGTTGTAGTGATGTTGATGTGTGATGGTGACTGTGTGTTTGGTGCGTGTGTTGTAGTGACGTTAATGTGTGGTAGTAACAGTGTGTTTGGGGCGTGTGTTGTAGTGATGTTGATGTGTGGTAGTAACAGTGTGTTTGGGGCGTGTGTTGTAGTGATGTTGATGTGTGATGGTGACAGTGTGTTTGGGGAGTGTGTTGTAGTGACGTTAATGTGTGGTAGTAACAGTGTGTTTGGGGCGTGTGTTGTAGTGATGTTGATGTGTGGTAGTAACAGTGTGTTTGGGGCGTGTGTTGTAGTGATGTTGATGTGTGATGGTGACTGTGTGTTTGGGGAGTGTGTTGTAGTGATGTTGATGTGTGATGGTGACTTTGTGTTTATGGCGTTTGTTGTAGTGATGTTGATGTGTGATGGTGACTGTGTGTTTGGTGCGTGTGTTGTAGTGATATTGATGTGTGATGGTGACTTTGTGTTGATGGCGTTTGTTGTAGTGATGTTGATGTGTGATAGTGACAGTGTGTTTGGTGCGTGTGTTGTATTGATGTTGATGTGTGATGGTGACAGTGTGTTTGGTGCGTGTGTTGTATTGATGTTAATGTGTGATAGTGACTTTGTGTTTGGGGCGTGTGTTGTATTGATGTTGATGTGTGGTAGTAACAGTGTGTTTGGGGCGTGTGTTGTAGTGATGTTGATGTGTGATGGTGACAGTGTGTTTGGTGCGTGTGTTGTAGTGATGTTGATGTGTGATGGTGACTTTGTGTTGATGGCGTTTGTTGTAGTGATGTTGATGTGTGATAGTGACAGTGTGTTTGGTGCGTGTGTGTTGTAGTGATATTGATGTATGATGGTGACTTTGTGTTTGTGGCGTGTGTGTAGTGATGTTGATGTGTGGTATGTGTGTTTGGGGCGTGTGTTGTAGTGATATTGATGTGTGATGGTGACTTTGTGTTTTGGGCGTGTGTTGTAGTGATGTTGATGTGTGATGGTGACAGTGTGTTTGGTGCGTGTGATGTAGTGATGTTGATGTGTGATGGTGACTGTGTGTTTGGGGCGTGTGTTGTATTGATGTTGATGTGTGGTAGTAACAGTGTGTTTGGGGCGTGTGTTGTAGTGATGTTGATGTGTGATGGTGACAGTGTGTTTGGTGCGTGTGTTGTAGTGATATTGATGTGTGATGGTGACTTTGTGTTTGGGGCGTGTGTTGTATTGATGTTGATGTGTGATGGTGACAGTGTGTTTGGTGCGTGTGATGTAGTGATGTTGATGTGTGATGGTGACTTTGTGTTTGGGGCGTGTGTGTTATAGTGATATTGATGTATGATGGTGACATTGTGTTTGGGCGTGTATTGTAGTAATGTTGATGTGTGGTAGTGACAGAGTGTTTGGGCTTGTGTTGTATTGACGTTGATGTGTGGTAGTGACAGAGTGTTTGTGGTGTGTGTTGTTGTGATGTGTATATGTGATGGTAACAGTGTGTTTGGGGCGTGTGTGTTGTAGTGATGTTGATGTGTGATGGTGACTGTGTGTTTGGAGCGTGTGTTGTATTGATGCTGGTGTGTGATGGTGACAGAGTGTTTGGGGCGTGTGTTGTATTGATACTGGTGTGTGATGGTGACAGTGTTAGTGACGTGTGTTGTATTGATGTTGATGTGTGATGTTGATGTGTGATGGTGATTGTGTTTGTGGCGTGTGTTGTATTGATGTTGATGTATGATGGTGACTTTGTGTTTGGGCGTGTATTTTAGTAATGTTGATGTGTGGTAGTAACAGTGTGTTTGGGGCGTGTGTTGTGGTGATGTGTATATGTGATGGTAACAGTGTGTTTGGGGCGTGTGATGTAGTGATATTGATGTGTGATTGTGACTTTGTGTTTGGTGCGTGTGATGTAGTGATGTTGATGTGTGATAGTGACTTTGTGTTTGGGGCGTGTGTTGTAGTGATGTTGATGTGTGATGGTGACTTTGTGTTTGTGGCGTGTGTTGTATTGATGTTGATGTGTGGTAGTAACAGTGTGTTTGGGGCGTGTGTTGTAGTGATGTTTATGTGTGATGGTGACAGTGTGTTTGGTGCGTGTGTTGTAGTGATGTTGATGTGTGATGGTGACTTTGTGTTTGTGGCGTGTGTTGTATTGATGTTGATGTGTGGTAGTAACAGTGTGTTTGGGGCGTGTGTTGTAGTGATGTTGATGTGTGATGGTGACAGTGTGTTTGGTGCGTGTGTGTTGTAGTGATATTGATGTATGATGGCGACAGTGTGTTTGGGGCGTGTGTTGTAGTGATGTTGATGTGTGATGGTGACTGTGTGTTTGGTGCGTGTGATGTAGTGATGTTGATGTGTGATGGTGACAGTGTGTTTGGTGCGTGTGATGTAGTGATGTTGATGTGTGATAGTGACTTTGTGTTTGGGGCGTGTGTTGTATTGATGTTGATGTGTGGTAGTAACAGTGTGTTTGGGGCGTGTGTTGTAGTGATGTTGATGTGTGATGGTGACAGTGTGTTTGGTGCGTGTGATGTAGTGATGTTGATGTGTGATGGTGACTGTGTGTTTGGGGCGTGTGTTGTAGTGATGTTGATGTGTGATAGTGACAGTGTGTTTGGTGCGTGTGTGTTGTAGTGATATTGATGTATGATGGTGACTTTGTGTTTGTGGCGTGTGATGTAGTGATGTTGATGTGTGGTAGTAACAGTGTGTTTGGGGCGTGTGTTGTAGTGATATTGATGTGTGATGGTGACTTTGTGTTTTGGGCGTGTGTTGTAGTGATGTTGATGTGTGATGGTGACAGTGTGTTTGGTGCGTGTGATGTAGTGATGTTGATGTGTGATGGTGACAGTGTGTTTGGTGCGTGTGTGTTGTAGTGATATTGATGTATGATGGCGACAGTGTGTTTGAGGCGTGTGTTGTAGTGATGTTGATGTGTGATGGTGACTTTGTGTTTGGTGCATGTGATGTAGTGATGTTGATGTGTGATAGTGACTTTGTGTTTGGGGCGTGTGTTGTATTGACGTTGATGTGTGGTAGTGACAGAGTGTTTGGGGCTTGTGTTGTTGTGATGTGTATATGTGATGGTAACAGTGTGTTTGGGGCGTTTGTTGTAATGATGTTGATATGTGATGTCTGATGTGTGATGTTGCTGTGTGACAGTGTGTTTGGTGCGTGTGTGTTGTAGTGATATTGATGTGTGATGGTGACTGTGTGTTTGTGTGTTGTGTTGTTGTGTGTGTATATGTGTTGGTGTGTTGTACAGTGTGTGTGTGGGTGACGTGTGTGTTGTAGTGATGTTGATGTGTGATGGTGACTGTGTGTTTGGGGCGTGTGTTGTATTGATGCTGGTGTGTGATGGTGACAGTGTGTTTGGGGCGTGTGTTGTATTGATGTTAATGTGTGATGGTGATTGTGTTTGTGGCGTGTGTTGTATTGATGTTGATGTATGATGGTGACTGTGTTTGGGCGTGTATTTTAGTAATGTTGATGTGTGGTAGTGACAGCGTGTTTAGGGCTTGTGTTGTTGTGATGTGTATATGTGATGGTAACAGTGTGTTTGGGGCGTGTGTTGTAATGATGTTGATATGTGGTAGTAACAGTGTGTTTGTGGCGTGTGTTGTATTGACGTTGATATGTGGTAGTGACTTTGTGTTTGGGGCGTGTGTTGTAGTGATGTTGACGTTGGTGTGTGGTAGTGACAGAGTGTTTGGGGCGTGTGTTGTGATGTGTACTTGTGATAATATGCTTCCGTGATATATTTATAGGCAGGACATATTGATGGGTAAAATGTTTCTCCTACAACCTAAAATTTCAGCTGTGACGGCATCACCACGTACTTTGATAACTTAAATGACACTGGGTGGATGTCACCGTAGAAATCGATATATCCTGTAGCGAGGTCGATCTCCTTTTCCTCGGCTACAGTTGCAAATGTTGTAGAAGTCATTCCTATTGGATTAAGGAGTTCTTCTCTCACGAGATCCTCCCAACTTTTCTTGCCAAGTCGCTCGGCAATGTCCGTGATGACGCCATACATGAGATTACTATAGTAAAAGCTCTCTCGGAACCTTCCTCGGCCACGCAGGTACTTTAGACGCCTGCGTGAGAAATAACAATATATTAAAATATAATAGGACTTCTCCATACTCTCCATAGATTCGTGTCCCAAACACCGAGACGGTCATAAAAAGAATGTTTGATACGAACTTCAACCATTAAAATTGATATTTTTCTTTAAGTTTTGGTATCTGTTCATCAATATAAAATGACATTTGTCCTGTATTCTTCCGTAGTGACACTTCTTGAGAAATGTACATGTAGATTTACACTGTAAGTAATAAGCACTACCACTTCAAGTCTTAGACTGAATATTTCCGTTACAATAGTATTTATGGGTTTATGGGCGTTTTTCTGTTCAAAAACATCCAATAACGGAAATGCTAGGGATAACTATATCTCAGTAACATAAAACCATGAAAATGTATTAGACCCAGCTTGTCTAGTCATGTCAATATGGACGCAAATTGGTTACATCCCTATTTTATATGAAGCCCTATACCAAGACCACAGGTTTAGGTGACCTGTTTCTACTACAGTAAAACGAAAGTTAGATTGAACTTTTCGGTACCCACATGCGTTTTGTTAACATTATCAGTTGGGGCTTAATTATATGACCTGAACGGGAACGTCGCTAATTAATATGCAAACTGATCAGTGCAGAAACGTGTGGAGGCATTTAACTCATTATAAATTATAACTAGAGTCAAATTGGTTTGTTTTCTTCAAAGCAAAACACGGAAAGACGTCCACACATTTCCCCCCAATCCTATGAGGTATAATATGCATGTTTACACAGTTGAAATTATGAATTATTATTGAGAATTCAATAACGTGATAGAAAATTATATAAACGTATTGTATGTATTCCTACAATAAAAATAAACGGGTGACCTTGGGCTACATATCAAGACATTTAATGACAAATGACAGTAAAATACGCGTGCAATGACACACAAATCTCTACCACGCTCCATGCGGTTATGAGCATTCAAAGACGAAAGAATAATCACACGATAAACGTCAGGACGAGTAAATATCAGATTTCTAGAACGTCTTACACAAATATGTAGCATATTGCCTTCTTTTTGTCTTTCTGATGGACGTATAAATAATAGTTGTTCTCTTCATGCGGTCGATAACACGAAAACAAAATAGAGGCTGTGGTACCACGAGTTAAGCGATGGTTTCAATAACCTGTCATAAAAAGAGACATCCTGTGTTAAGTCATTGTGCATTTTATAACTACTAGACTACGTCAAAGTCTGATGACCTTGAAGTGACCTTGAGGTCAGCAGACACAGACATCGAGGCAGACACACAGTACCCTGCTGTAATTGGACCTAATCTGACGGCGATTTCACAAAAACCGTATTCCAAACAATGAAATATGATTGTATAACCGAAAGGAAAACTTAAAATCACATTTATACGAATTAGAAGAAATTGCATTTATAAATAACTTTGAGCACGACAAACAAGAAGTTGATGGGAAACAAGGTATGCAATTATGATTTGGCGCCCATCGATCAGGCCTTCTTGTCCCGCATCTAACGATGGGTCAACGTTACCGCCAAGGGGCGCTAGTATCGATCGGGAATGAGTTGGTAACGTTTGTTAAGTAAATCATTACGATTCAGACCTTTATTACATTGATATTGCATATTGTGTAGGAGAAATTGCAGTCAACATCAAGGTTAGGTTTCATGGCCTACATTGTTTAAGTTATAGGAGTAAGGAGCACAGATAAACCTGGACTAATTACTAACACGAAAGCAATTGTAAGTGACAAGGTTGATGGAAATTCTTCGTAGGGGTGAGGTACTTGTTTGATGTCGGGTGGGGCAGGTCGCGGCCAACATTTCGAGAATTTCTAAAGATATCCTTAAGCTGACAGCTTTCAATGCGAGTATTCCGAACTGATGATTTCGCGATTCTATTGATTAACTTATATTAAGATATCATAACAGATACTGCCTTGGTTTACTCCATAAATCAATATTGAGAAGAACTCTTTGATTGAAAGAAAAATAAAACTGTGATTCTAATTAAATAATCAGACACTGAAACAATACAAATTTGTATACAGACAACCTTGCTATAAATGTCATCTCTTTATTACAAATGTCTGTCGGTTACGATCACCTCAATTTAACAAACTGCTAACTACAGAGGCCACCGCAAAACATATATAACAAATGTCTGTCTATAAAGGTCACCTCTATATAACAAATGTCTGTCTGTAAAGGTCACCTCTATATAACAAATGTCTGTCTATAAAGGCCACCTCTATATAACAAATGTCTGTCTATAAAGGCAACCTCTATATAACAAATGTCTGTCTATAAAGGCCACCTCTATCTAACAAATGTCTGTCTATAAAGGCCAACTCTATATAACAAATGTCTGTCTATAAAGGACACCTCTATATAACAAATGTCTGTCCATAAAGGCCACCTCTATATAACAAATGTCTGTCTACAAAGGCCACCTCTATATAACAAATGTCTGTCTATAAAGGCCACCTCTATATAACAAATGTCTGTCTATAAAGGCCACCTCTATATAACAAATGTCTGTCTACAAAGGCCACCTCTATATAACAAATGTCTGTCTATAAAGGCCACCTCTATATAACAAATGTCTGGTCTTAAAGGCCACCTCTATATAACAAATGTCTAGTGATAAAGGTCACCTCTATATAACAAATGTCTGTCTATAAAGGCCACCTCTATATAACAAATGTCTAGTGATAAAGGCCACCTCTATATAACAAATGTCAGTCTATAAAGGCCACCTCTATATAACAAATGTCTGTCCATAAAGGCCACCTCTATATAACAAATGTCTGTCCATAAAGGCCACCTCTATATAACAAATGTCTGTCCATAAAGGCCACCTTTATATAACAAATGTCTGTCCATAAAGGCCACCTCTATATAACAAATGTCTGTCTATAAATGTCAACTCTATATAACAAATGTCTTGTGATAAAGGCCACCTCTATGTACCAAATGTCTGGTCTTAAAGGCCACCTCTATATAACAAATGTCTAGTGATAAAGGCCACCTCTATATAACAAATGTCTAGTGATCAAGGCCACCTCTATATCACAAATGTCTGTCTGTATAGGCCACCTCTATATAACAAATGTGTGTCTATAAAGGTCACCTTTATCTAACAAATGTCTGTCTGTAACGGCCACTTCTATATAACAAATGTCTGTCTGTATATGCCATCTCTATATAACAAATGTCTAGTGATAAAGGCCACCTCTATGTAACAAATGTCTGTCTACAAAGGACACCTCTATATAACAAATGTCTGTCCATAAAGGCCACCTCTATATAACAAATGTCTGTCTACAAAGGCCACCTCTATATAACAAATGTCTGTCTATAAAGGCCACCTCTATATAACAAATGTCTAGTGATAAAGGCCACCTCTATATAACAAATGTCTGTCTGTAAAGGCCACCTCTATATAACAAATGTCTGTCTATAAAGGCCACCTCTATATAACAAATGTCTGTCTATAAAGGCCACCTCTATATAACAAATGTCTGGTCTTAAAGGCCACCTCTATATAACAAATGTCTAGTGATAAAGGTCACCTCTATATAACAAATGTCTGTCTATAAAGGCCAACTCTATATAACAAATGTCCAGTGATAAAGGCCACCTCTAAATAACAAATGTCTGTCCATAAAGGCCACCTCTATATATCAAATGTCTGTCCATAAAGGCCACCTCTATATAACAAATGTCAGTCTATAAAGGCCACCTCTATATAACAAATGTCTGTCCATAAAGGCCACCTCTATATAACAAATGTCTGTCTATAAAGCCAGCTCTATATAACAAATGTCTGTCTATAAAGGACACCTCCATATAACAAATGTCTGTCCATAAAGGCCACCTCTATATAACAAATGTCTGTCTACAAAGGCCAACTCTATATAACAAATGTCCAGTGATAAAGGCCACCTCTAAATAACAAATGTCTGTCCATAAAGGCCACCTCTATATATCAAATGTCTGTCCATAAAGGCCACCTCTATATAACAAATGTCAGTCTATAAAGGCCACCTCTATATAACAAATGTCTGTCCATAAAGGCCACCTCTATATAACAAATGTCTGTCTATAAAGCCAGCTCTATATAACAAATGTCTGTCTATAAAGGACACCTCCATATAACAAATGTCTGTCCATAAAGGCCACCTCTATATAACAAATGTCTGTCTACAAAGGCCACCTCTATATAACAAATGTCTAGTGATAAAGGCAACCTCTATGTAACAAATGTCTGTCTATAAAGCCAGCTCTATATAACGAATGTCTGTCTATAAAGGACACCTCTATATAACAAATGTCTGTCCATAAAGGCCACCTCTATATAACAAATGTCTGTCTACAAAGGCCACCTCTATATAACAAATGTCTGGTGATAAAGGACACCTCTATATAACAAATGTCTGTCCATAAAGGCCACCTCTATATAACAAATGTCTGTCTACAAAGGCCACCTCTATATAACAAATGTCTGTCTATAAAGGCCACCTCTATATAACAAATATCTGGTCTTAAAGGCCACCTCTATATAACAAATGTATGTCTATAAAGGACACCTCTATATAACAAATGTCTGTCCATAAAGGCCACCTCTATATAACAAATGTCTGTCTACAAAGGCCACCTCTATATAACAAATGTCTGTCTATAAAGGCCACCTCTATATAACAAATATCTGGTCTTAAAGGCCACCTCTATATAACAAATGTATGTCTATAAAGGCCAACTCTATATAACAAATGTATGTCTATAAAGGACACCTCTATATAACAAATGTCTGTCCATAAAGGCCACCTCTATATAACAAATGTCTGTCTACAAAGGCCACCTCTATATAACAAATGTCTGTCCATAAAGGCCACCTCTATATAACAAATATCTGGTCTTAAAGGCCACCTCTATATAACAAATGTCTAGTGATAAAGGTCACCCCTATATAACAAATGTCTGTCTATAAAGGCCAACTCTATATAACAAATGTCCAGTGATAAAGGCCACCTCTAAATAACAAATGTCTGTCCATAAAGGCCACCTCTATATAACAAATGTCTGTCTATAAAGCCACCTCTATATAACAAATGTCTGTCTATAAAGGACACCTCTATATAACAAATGTCTGTCCATAAAGGCCACCTCTATATAACAAATGTCTGTCTACAAAGGCCACCTCTATATAACAAATGTCTGTCTATAAAGGCCACCTCTATATAACAAATGTCTGGTCTTAAAGGCCACCTCTATATAACAAATGTCTAGTGATAAAGGTCACCTCTATATAACAAATGTCTGTCTATAAAGGCCAACTCTATATAACAAATGTCTGTCCATAAAGGCCACCTCTATATAACAAATGTCTGTCCATAAAGGCCACCTCTATATAACAAATGTCAGTCTATAAAGGCCACCTCTATATAACAAATGTCTGTCCATAAAGGCCACCTCTATATAACAAATGTCTGTCCATAAAGGCCACCTCTATATAACAAATATCTGTCCATAAAGGCCACCTTTATATAACAAATGTCTGTCCATAAAGGCCACCTCTATATAACAAATGTCTGTCTGTAAGGGCCAATTCTATATAACAAATGTCTGTCTATAAAGGCCACCTCTATATAACAAATGTCTTGTGATAAATGCCACCTCTATGTAACAAATGTCTGTCTGTATATGCCACCTCTATATAACAAATGTCTGTCTGTAAGGGCCAATTATATATAACAAAGGTCTGTCTATAAAGGCCACCTCTATATATCAAATGTCTGTCTATAAAGGCCACCTCTATATAACAAATGTCTGTCTGTAATGGCCACCTCTATATAACAAATGTCTAGTGATAAAGGCCACCTCTATATAACAAATGTCTGTCTATAAAGGCCACCTCTATATAACAAATGTCTAGTGATAAAGGCCACCTCTATGTAACAAATGTCTGTCTGTATATGCCACCTCTATATAACAAATGTCTGTCTGTAAGGGCCAATTATATATAACAAAGGTCTGGGCCACCTCTATATAACAAATGTCTTTATAAAGGCTAACAAATGTCTGTCTGTAAAGGCCACCTCTGTATAACAAATGTCTGTCTATAAAGTCTATATAACAAATGTCTTGTGATATCACTCTATATAACAAATGTCTATATAAAGGCCATATATAACAAATGTCTAGGCCACCTCTATATAACAAATGTCTGTCTATAAAGGCCACCTCTATATAACAAATGTCTAGTGTCTGTCCATAAAGGCCACCTCTATATAACAAATGTCTATATAACAAATGTAATGAAAGGCCACCTCTATATAACAAGTATCTAGTGATAAAGGCCACCTCTATATAACAAATGTCTGTCTGTAATGACCACCTTTATATAACAAATGTCTAGTGATAAAGGTCACCGCTATATAACAAATGTCTGTCTATAAAGGCAACCTCTATATAACAAATGTTTAGAGAAAAAAAGGTCACCTCTAGATAACAAATGTCTGTCTGTATATGCCACCTCTATATAACAAATGTCTGTCTGTAATGGCCACCTCTATATAACAAATGTCTAGTGATTAAGGTCACCTCTATATAACAAATGTCTGTCCATAAAGACCACCTCTATATAACAAATGTCTGTCCATAAAGGCCACCTCTATATAACAAATGTCTGTCTATAAAGGCCACCTCTATATAACAAATGTCTGTCTATAAAGGCCACCTCTATATAACAAATGTCTGGTCTTAAAGGCCACCTCTATATAACAAATTTCTGTCCATAAAGGCCACCTCTATATAACAAATGTCTGTCCATAAAGGCCACCTCTATATAACAAATGTCTGTCTATAAAGGCCACCTCTATATAACAAATGTCTGGTCTTAAAGGCCACCTCTATATAACATATGTCTGTCTGTAAAGGCCACCTCTAAATAACAAATGTCTTGTGATAAAGGCCACCTCTATATAACAAATGTCTGTCTATAAAGGACACCTCTATATAACAAATATCTGTCCATAAAGGCCACCTCTATATAACAAATGTCTGTCCATAAAGGCCACCTCTATATAACAAATGTCTGTCCATAAAGGCCACCTCTATATAACAAATGTCTGTCCATAAAGGCCACCTCTATATAACAAATGTCTGGTCTTAAAGGCCACCTCTATATAACATATGTCTGTCTGTAAAGGCCACCTCTAAATAACAAATGTCTTGTGATAAAGGCCACCTCTATATAACAAATGTCAGTCTATAAAGGCCACTTCTAGATAACAAATGTCTGTCTATAAAGGCCACCTCTATATAACAAATGTCTGTCCATAAAGTCCACCTCTATATAACAAATGTCTGTCTGTAAGGGCCAACTCTATATAACAAATGTCTGTCTGTAAAGGTCACCTCTATATAACAAATGTCTGTCCATAAAGGCCACCTCTATATAACAAATGTCTGTCTATAAAGGCCACCTCTATATAACAAATGTCTGTCCATAAAGGCCACCTCTATATAACAAATGTCTGTCTATAAAGGCCACCTCTATATAACAAATGTCTTATGATAAAGGCCACCTCTATGTAACAAATGTCTGTCTGTATATGCCACCTCTATATAACAAATGGCTGTCTGTAAGGGCCAATTATATACAACAAAGGTCTGTCTATAAAGGCCACCTCTATATAACAAATGTCTGTCTGTAAAGGCCACCTCTATATAACAAATGTCTGTCTGTATATGCCACCTCTATATAACAAATGTCTGTCTGTAATGGCCACCTCTATATAACAAATGTCTAGTGATTAAGGTTACCTCTACATCACAAATGTCTGTCTACATAGGCAACCTCTAGATAACAAATGTCTGTCTATAAAGGCTTCATCTATACAACAAATGTCTGTCTTTAAAGGTTACCTCTGTATAACAAATGTCTGTCTATAAAGACAACCTCTATATAACAAATGTCTAGTGATAAAGGTCACCTCTATATAACAAATGTCTGTATATAAAGGCCACCTCTATATAACAAATTACTAGTGATAAAGGCCACCTCTATATTAAGATATGAATGTAAAGTGCGTTACCACGGAGTCACTCGACTATCCATGATTCTAACTGCACAAACATCATCTTATATATTTTCCCATGTTTAGACTTTCCCTACATATGACGTTTTTTTCACATTTAATACTTACATGTGTATATATTTTGTAATAAGAAAAAAATATTGTTTGTTTACCTGTATATGTTACCCCTTGTTAGAGTATCGTCGAATCTCATGTAGTTGTTGCTACGGATACCAATGTTATGTGCTAAAAGGTCCCGGATGGTGACGTAACGAGAGCGAAGGTCATCACTGAAGATGTTATCGTTATTATATATCTTACTTATCTCCGTATCCAACGTAATTCTGAAACAGAAAAAAAGTATAATACAGCGATTACTTTAAGAAAAGAAACATTTTATTTCAAAACAGATATAAAAAGTTACTTTCGCTCGACTCTGTATAAAGGGGATGGAAACAAAGATGGTGACATTGACCTTGACACAATATCATAGACTAACGGCAATGAACTAGTAAGATAAAAAAAATAATCAAAAATAGATATCAGTTTAATTACTAAATGTAACAGCACAGACAAGGGACGAAGATAACTTTCTTTAAGTCCCAAATTTGGCATCCTAATGTATCTTACACTACAATCACCACGCCAGCAATGACCTAGAAAGTCCCAAAGACAATGTCCAGTTTAACAATAAATGCCCACTAGCCAAGTCACTGACCAATATCAAAGATGTTAAATCAGTTACATTCAATCTCTTTTTCAGATAAAATTACTGTGTTCCCGTGAAATGAACAACTATGATGATTTATCGGCTAACAATATAATCAATTAACACAGTTAGATGATTGTATCTGTGTCGTCATACACATTCAGATATATACTCGGATCATGTATTTTGTCAAGTCTTAACAGAGAGGTTTTACTACTTCAATGGACCTGGGAAGTCAAAGCGAATTCAAGTCGAAGAGAATACGTTTTCATGGTAAGGTTTGAAATATTAACTGAATATTGCCAACTGCAATAAAGTTTTACACTGTGTAAGGCATACACAAATTACTGGAATAAAGGGGTATTATATTTTCAGCGGGGATAAAGTCAGATATGTCATTAACCTTAGCTACCCAATACTTTCAACAACCGACGTATAATTCTGATAAAGAACCCCGCGAATTTATGGGTGTTTTTTAATTGAACATATATCTTTAAAAAACATGAAAATGTAAAAAATTCAGAGGCCACATTACTTGAAGATAAAAAGTCAGTGTCCTTGAGAATGTGTTTTACATGGTGACTATACGGTTGGTCCAGTCATTACGCGCTGAGAACGACAATCATGCTTGATATAAATTTACGTTTTTCTCTAACTCTAACCGAGGGAGAATAAACAAGCTTGGCAGTATAAAAAGGAACGACACTTTTTTGTTGTTCCTTGTTATGCTGTATGAATTCTTAGAACTGCGTGCTTCCTGTTTCCGACCGGAGTAAAATGTAACGTTTTTCCTTCTGTTTCCAAAAAACTGTTCCATTGATAACCATGAAAATGATTACGTGTCACATTTTCCTTTTATGACAAGCGCGATATTATTGTTCTGATATTTCTTCTGTTTTTTCACCCATATTCCTACTTTCACCAAATACCCCTTTGCTGCCACATAAAATTCCGTAATGTTTCTAAAACCTTTAACCGTGTAATGTTACTGTGAATAAAACCCGGTTTTTGCTTTCTTTGTCTTCCATCTGTCTGTTAATGCGCGTCCTCTATCAATAAGTCCATGCTCTACTATCTCTTCCATCAGGCAGAGTCACGCGAAGAATGTACTCTAGTACTACAGAGAGGGACACACAAGCAACTGGCATTCCCTTGGGACATTATCAACATGTTGATATCATTTTCACAACTAGCTGATAACAAGTTACAATTCACGTTATACTGACCATTAACCTTTTTATAGGTTTTTACACGGAGCAGAAAACCATTATTACCATACATTGGCTCTGAGCATAGACCTCAAAACACAATACGCACTCATCTGAGTTAAATTTCGATACATTACAAAACGATATTGAGGAACAGATTTTTTAATATTTCACTCGCAAGATATTTCAACGTGTAGTAATACATTGCTTTTAGTATCTTGGACGGCAATATTTAGTAAATGGATCAAACATATTTCGTAATAAAACAAATCTGTACATCGAACTCTGCAATAGAAATGCTTGCTTTGAATCGTTGTACAGCTAGCTTGTCTGTAAAATGTTTGAAACCATTTCATGAGTTTCTATATACAATGTATTTTTTTTTTATCTTCTAAAGTTATTTATTAAGTTTATCAGTTTTGGAACATTGTGATGAAATAAAGCTTACTTTGTCTATTCACTGTAAATAATTGTCTATAAAACTGCATCATTGTAAATAAAAGTTTACCCAATTCGTTCGTGTAAATAAAGATCATCCAATCATATCGCTGTATATATAAGTTTAACCAACTGGATGACATAACAGTTTACCGAATTAGATCACAAAATAAGTACTTCCTTCCAATCATAGAAAATCAAAGTCTTCTTCAAAATGCCACAGGTAATGATATTATACACAGTAAACAACAGCTTGTTAAATTACAAATTTATATCATAACAAAAGACAATTTACACACATCACAATTAGTGACATTGCAAGAATTAAATCAACCAATGACATCACATCATACAATTTTTCATTCAATCAAATGACGCATTTTTTTCTGGGTATGTCCAATTATATCACAAAGTTTAATTACAGCACTCTTTGTGTATCAAAATCCCTATTTGCGATATCTAAATAACAGCGAAGAAAAAACCTTGAATCAGATAAGTGCATTTTCAAAAGATCATATCGTGTCTCCTTTACCGAAGACATTACGTAAGGGACTAGAGATGACTCTTTATAGCAATGTTAAATCTCGGCCTACCTCTAATAGAGTCTTCTGTATGAATTCATATACAAGATTATAACACAGTTATACTTATAGCCTCTCAGCGATTTTCGATTTTGTTCATTTCGAATAATAGAATTTTATTAAAGACAGTTCCTGTAATATCACAATACATTTAAATATTGTGTTACAATAGCATTACATCCTGTCTATTGTACATCATCATATTATTAACAATTTCACACCATGAACATCACACATTAGTGGTTTAAAGAATTCTTTATCTCGGTGTCGACATTCATTATCGCTTTCCAAAGTAAATTCAATGACAGATGATTTAAAACGAGTATTGGACTTTCCTTTATAATAAGTGAAATTGGCAGAAGGCAATAGATACAGATAAAGATAATTCCATGTATGTATGTATTCTTTTCAAAGAGTGATAATCGACATTCGAATCACTGGATTTGTTTGTGTTTGTATTTCACTGGCCCCTAACAATGCAGGAAATTCATATCGATACAGTAAACATTCCCTAATCTGATTTTCAACAACTATATGAATCAATGTGTAAGGAAAGGCATCGGTAGACTCAGGGTCGTAGTTCCCATAGAAAGAAAAAGCCTGGGCTTACACATAAAAAAAATCCGTGCATAGAGTTTGTCGGACAAAATTACAAAATTAAGGTTGAAAATAAATATCAGGGGTTGAAGTTTGTTGTTAAATAAATTAAAAAAAACTGTCTCAGCAAACGATTCAAAACATCTTTAAAATCATGAAATTCAGACCCCTGGCCTGGCCTTACACATTTCTGCTGGGCTTGCTACGCCCCTGGGTAGACTTCAAAATGTAGTACATTTTAACTACATTTCCGTACACATCACCGGATGGGGAAGGGAGATCACTCAATCAGCGTTAATGTTCCCTTTCGCACGATTTCTACTCCGAAACTACGTCGTCAAAGTCCCAAATTATCATAATAATGAATCGGGTCCACTTTCCCCTCAAAGCTGATTAAAAAAATATTTATGAAAACAGGTTATTTAAAATAATGATTTTGGCTCGAGCCAATCGGCTTGTATGTACAAGGTTTCTGGAATGTACGTCTGAGGATTGGACAAGAAGACGATCTACATAATTGTGACATAGACCTGCTCAAATGTTTTATCCAATCGTCAGCGTACAACGAGGTATATTTTTGAATGAGACTGCTTAACCGGAGCATTTAAAGTTTTTTGCATATTGACAGACTTGTTAGGAACACCCGTGGTAAAGCCCTACATTGTACAACATGTACACACAATATGTTTTCTCTAGGAAGTGTAAATATATCTTCCCATTGTCCAGTGTATTCGGATTCCATGTCAAGTGGACATACAGAAACGCGTCCTGTATTGATTTTGAAAACGTGGCACATACACTGGAATCCACGAGGACAATTTAACACCTACTATTTTACATGTAGCTGGCATATCAGCCAAAAACATGTATAATTGTTTCTGTCACATAAACGCACTATAACGAAATGTGATGCCATATTCTACATCTATCGTGGGTTCTGGAAATGAACAATGAACGCTTGAAAACAAAAAACACTTTTTCAATTTATACCAAAATACTAGTATAGAGATAACTGAAGCGCGTTTCAAGAACAGAAATACAAATGTATATTTTCAAAATTAGCATGCTATGATCGCAATAAACCGAGAACAAAACACGTGTGCACCAAATCTGAAACCAAGTTCGCAATTAAATATTAATTGATAGATAAAACGTTATGCGATTTGAGAAAGGCTTTTCATTGAAAGATTTTCATATTTGGACGCCGGTAGCTCATAAGATTACTTATGCACATGCTGGTTATCATTTAAACATCTGGGAATACAACAGTAAATGCATTCTCAAATATGTGAGCGTATTAGCAAATGCATTCCATAAAGTTGTAATTGTATTTGATATAACTAGATATCATTCGGATCCGATAATTCTGTTGTTAGATATAACACATTTGGAGTAAAATCATGTGTTATATAGATACTGTCAAGTACGAAATAGTACAGTGAAGGACACAAGACTGTTCCAAAATGGTGTAAGCGCCTCAATCACATTGATCAATACAAACCTACACATGACACAGACGTTTGAAAACCACCGCATACAGAAAATTATCGAAAAAATCCATATCAAATTATAACTCAGGCTAACTCATATGTCCGTTTGTTGGAAATCTGGCACACTCTTTTTAAGTGCAAAATTGTGACATCATAATGTAGGTCAAATAACTACCGAAATGTTCCGTGACTATTTCATGAGGTTTAAACAACTGCAGAAAGTCGTAGTTTGTAATGAGCAAAGATAGATTGGCAATTTTTTAACATCAAATACATATGTATGTATTTATTACTATAGAGTTGATAACACAACGGTTTTTC